ATTTACTGCATCTGATTTGGAACCCTAAGTTAGAAGCCAAGTTTCACGAGAAGGGTGAGTGAAATGTTGAGCACTGTATGTTTTGAAAATTATTTTGCAAGTATGATTTTCAAACTCTTCGATACTACTTTAAACAAGGAAGAAAAAGAAGGGCTTACTATTGACTGGACATGTAATTTTTGTGAAGGTGTACAGTCTCTTACATGCTCAGGAACTATTATTATTACATTATTACATTCTCAAAGAATTACAATTTTAGGAGTGGAATTCTCCAACTGTAGGGTCACTGACTTGCTGCTGTTGGATGTGCCTTTGCTGCTCATCTGACAGCCTTTAGCACAAGTGTCTGGAAACAACAGAGGTCTTCTTCTAGAAGAGCAAAGGATAACTAGTAAGTAGAACATTTTATTGAGAAATAAGAAAAAATAGTTTGACAGCTGGAACATACCTGGGATTCAGTTCTTTGAAGGGGGATGTCTTCTGTGTTTTCAGTTATTGGCATGGGAAACAATACAAGGTAGTAATTCACATTCTAAGAGACTAATTTTTTCTCCCCAAAACGAGGACACATCCATCTGGATTAAAATGGAAATTATCTTTATTAGGGAATTCCTATTTTAAATTGCATTGTTGCTTCACCCTAAATCAACAGTTAATTAACAAATCAGTTATCAGTTTAAGCCAGTAAAAAGTCAACAAATTTGAGCAACTGTGGAGTCAAGGTCTGGTGTATTTCACAGACTATAAATCAGTGTGGTAGACTATCAGAGCACACTTAATAATGATGTTTCTTAATAACTACATTGGAAAACCAAAGAAGGGCAAAGCTAATTAACCCCACAGCTAGGGCAAAAGTTAGGATATTAGAAAAAAGCAGAATGCCAGTGTCTCCCTGTCAAGTTCAAACTGAGGCCACTGTAATTCAAGTATGATGTGCAATATTGCTTGTAAATATTCTTTTTAAACTGTCAAGTAATTTTGGGAGATCAAGTGTAACAGATCCCTTGGTGTTGAAGTCAGTCCCTACCCCAGCCAGCATCGAGCGTGCCTTCCACCTCTGCTTGCCTGTGTCTGAAACATTCCACTGCTGTCAGCACCATGGATCATCATCAATCCCCAGCTAATTCAGATTCCCAGTTAACTGGGACACAGGAGCTGAATTAAGAAATAAACTTCATTGTTAAGCATTAGCCACAGCAACACAGTTTATTTTTATAACTTATTCCAGTTTTAAAAGCATACAACTGCCAGTGACACACAAGTTGTCCTCTGCAGCTCTTTGGTTTACAGCACCGGGCTCATCTGATATTCCGTTTCTCTTCCCAAGTGCAGGCACAGTCCATTACAGCTGCATGCATCCCGTATAATGACTCAGTGCATGAGCTTTACCAGTGAGACTGAAAAAACCACTGAAGTGTTTGTGTCCTGGACCAAATTTTAATGCTTAATCATGTCTTCAGCAAGATCCACTTTCAACCCAACAAATTTTGACAAACATCGCAAAGCATCAAGCAGTTGCAAGCAGGATAAAAAATAAACCTTACAGTGAGGGCTGCTGAACTGAGTCGGGGCCAAACTCCAGCCCTGCGAGTCTGAGGACACAAGGCAGACACTGGAGTGAGACGAGGCTCATACACGTCGTGGTAAGAACATAATTGCACGCATTTTCAAGTAATCCAAGAGACAACTTAATTTACACTGAAGGTTTTGGATGTGAATGGTGACTTTAGTCTTAGGTTCCAGAATAAGATAACTTACAGGGGCTTAATTTTCAGAATGTTTTGGAAATCAGGCCCTTTTAAGGGTTCTGGTCTACATCCAAGAAATAAAGCTTCCAAAAGGAAGCCACACAAACATTGTGCACTTTAATTTTATACTTACTGACATCAGTAGCCAAAATACCCAAAACATTTTAAATTTTAATAGGAGTAGGACACTGAGGAGAAGCAGTGCATCAACCTTCATGAAAATCAAGATGTAGGAACATTGAAGGGATTGAAATAATTCCTTTCATTGTTAGAAATGTATTAAAATTCCAGCTACAATAATTTTTCATGACCTGTAACTTAGAAGTGTTTTGGTCAGTTTTCTCCAAAGCTTAATCTAAACATTCTTCGCTTCAGGGCTAAATACAGGAACTTAAAGCCTGCATCAATTTTATGTTGAAAAAAAAATATCATGGAGCTAAGTAGTATTTATAGAAAGTTGTAATTGTGACTCCCTTTCAGGCATCCAAGCTAGTACAAGGTTAACTCAAAACAACAGATAAGTCAAGTGTGAAGTTTTAAGGCACAAATGAGTGTCATAGGATGAGAATATAACCATTCATTCCACCTTGAGAGGGAACTGGCCTGCAGAGATAGGAAATAGGCAAGAAGATCTCCTGTGAAAGGTGTGTTGTGTACCTGAGTACCATATTGGATTCACTGAGCTACACAGTTCTTGTGGTGCTTTGATAAAACCCCATCTGCAAAGAGCTGCCCTCTACACCCGGATCTTGAAAGAAAATCATGTGTCCTACAAAAGGGCTGGTTGCAGGTGGAGACACCCAAGCACTACAGTCTGTGTGCACCACAGTGCAGGGTTTCTTTCTTCACAGACACTCTGCTCCTTTTCATGTCATTTTTCTAAGTGTATGTGAGTGAAAACAAAATATTTCATATTAGAACAGGTCACATTTGCTCAGGGAGGAATGTAAGGGAAGATGCAAGATGCTTGTTCCCAACCAACCGTGCCTTACCAAAACGCACCAGCCACAGCCTGGCAGGCACATGCAAGCTGTGAGGATATTGTAGGGTGTGCTGGAATGATCCAACCAATTCCAGCATCCAGGCCCATGGGGTCTGGGGAGTCCTCAAAGTATGGGGCTTAAATTTATTAAGTTTTTATTATCTTTTTGACTGTAATATCTGAAATTATATGAAGTGTTCACAGTTCAGGAGGGATTTTACAATGTGTGTTAATTAAAAATGAAAATCAAGAAATAGTAGCTTGTGGTGTAGATAATGGCCACATTTGTTCAGTTTTTCTGCTTATTCTTCCAGTGCTTTTCCTTAGTTGTAAAAGTTAAGACATGGTCTCAGTAAAACAAAACATACTATATTGCTGCAATGGAAGTCCTCACTTAATTTCTTTTGCCTCTATTTGCTTTAAAAATAGCTTTAATCGTAAATGAGAGGAAGCGCAAATACACTGGGATACTAAAAGATTTGTTGAGAACATGAGAATGCATTTTACGTGCTTCTATTTAATGCATAAGTGCTTTTATTTGCTTCCTGGACCGTGATCCAAATCTGTGGAACAAATGCAGTTCCAGGGCTTTTGCACACAGTACCTGGGGCTTATGTGGTTTAAGGAACCGAAAGGGGCAGGAGAGTATAAAGGCCAGGAAGGTATAAGCTCTCTTGGCTACATGCATTTGCATCCTGTTTGCTTACTAGAGGAAGTATAAAATAGCATAAAGACAGGAATAAACACAACTGTGAAGTGGAAATATTTTAATACTTTGCCCACTGTAGACATCAGAAGCCTCTGACAGTGTCAAAGTCCTGTGAATTGTACCTGTGTGGCTCATATCAGCACGTCGATTAAAAACTTCACCTGTCCCTGTTTAACACAGAATAAAACATCCTCAGAAAGGATGGCATACCTGTAGTAACTGGGAAGGATTGGTTTCTGGATTAGAACACAACTGGCTTCTTTTATGTTTTAATTTTTTCTTCTAGGGTAACTTGTATTCATGTTTACAACTTCCTTGGTAAAAATTAAATATTTTCTGTGCCTCGTTCATAACCAGTGTATCCCTCCCTTCCCAAAGGGCTGCATTCTCCACGCTTACCTCCCATTTACCTCCACGCTTACCTTTTCTGTTTATTGTGAGGACAGTTTATGAAATGCAGCAAGCTATGCAACATCCTTTGGAAAGGGTTTGATTTGATGCAAAATTTAGTGCTGGGCTCATTCAGAATAGATGGAATCTCTCAGCTACTGCCTACCCTTCTACATCTGAGAAGAATCTTGTGGAATGAGTTAATGACAGGAGGCAGCTGCCTTACTGGGCTGAAACCCCTGTCCTTACATCTCTTTAATCTCTTAGCTGCTTTTACAGGATTTAAACCACAATCCTAAACTAGCATGGGAATCAGCAGGAGCCAGTCACAGAATGCAGGCAGTAGTCATGGTGTCTGTGCTGTTCAGAGGAGGGAGTAACTGATAAACTGGGCTTTTACCAACTTTGGGTTTGGGTGCAGTAAACTGCAGCAGTCCAGCCCAAGGAGCAGCAAGAAATACATCCTCAGTCAAGCACAACTTGAATGCCAAGTACCATCCTTTTAGAAAAGCAGACTCGAATGAATACATTTGTCTTTTATCTGGGGACTTGAAGCTGAACATCCTCCCGTTTGTTTTGGGGAAGCATCTAAGTTTACCTTTAGTAAATATGTGTTGCTGCAGCATTTCACAGGATCAAGTACCATAAAACTAATTTATTAGGCTACATTATTCCCAGACAGGTCAGTTTTCTAAGTTTTCCTCCAAGTACTTCAGGACTGTTTGGGTGTTCATGGATAGAAAAATTTGTATAAACAATGAGAATTAATGCTGGTTTAGGCACCTTAATTCTTCACCTTTATCCCCTGAAAAATGTTGTTTAAACACAGTTTACTTTGAGTTTCCTCAGTCACAAATGCACAAAATGATAGCCTTATGAAGTGACCAAGTAGTTGCTTGTCTACATAGCAAATCAGTTCCTGAGCTAAAAATAAAAAATCAGAAACAGTCCCTTACAACATCTGAAACAACTTTTATAGAGAAACATTTAAATATTATGAAGGGCTGGATAACATAAATGCCATAGGAGGAACAGCAGGTGGTTTTTTAGGAGGTTCTAATATTTGTGGGTTTAAGTTCTTTTCTCACATTTGAAACAATCCCAGTCATTAATATGAGTTCATCCAGGTTTCAGAAAACTCCTAGAAGCTTAAACAAGTGCACTGAAAAAGTTTGTGTTTGTAAACATTTATTCTTTTGAACTGAAAAAGGCTTGCATCAGCACACATTGTACAGACTTGCAAATTACACAAGTTGAAAAAAGTTTTGTTTCATTTATGTGCAATGAATCTTTAATGTCCAGTGAGCATCTGCAAATGATGAAAACTTAAACCATTAAAAAGGTTTCCAGCACTTATCAAACACAATTATCTTAGCGTGAAAAGGAAGAGAAAGAGACCCATACTGGTGGGAACACAATTAAAGTGCAAACATTTTGTCACTTGTATGAAGATACATAAAGCTTCTTCACACTTTTGTTAAAAAGAAATATTAAAATGTGATACAGTGAACATTTTTTGTAACCTATTCATAATCCCCTTCTAGTAGTTATTAAGCTTGCTGGATCTGAAGCAAATTCTTCAAGGGTAGAAACTTGTAATCTCTTTTGACATTGTTTGAATGTATTGCAAAACACAAGGACCACCTAAGGAGTCAGTTACTAAAATGATAATCTCTTTTTCTTTAAAAAAAGAAAAAACAAGAGAAAAAGAAGAAAAAGAAAAAACAACAACAACAAAAAAAAACCCCACACAAGGGACAAAGAACAGGTTAACTTGAAGATCTTGGGTAGTTTGCTAGAAAATTAATATAATTCCTTAAGAATGGTTCTCTTTTCCCCACCACCAATCCTCAGGTTCCTGCCTTGGAATGGATAGCTGTGTGCTGGCTGTGAAAAGGGATTATAAAATACAAATCTGCATATGGATTTTTATGAACATCTGCTGTACAATAGAACTTTGGATCTGATACAAGATTTCAAAAATATAAAACAAAACTACTATAAAAGTAGGGGGCATTTCAGCAGCATTCCTTACAGAAAGCTGCCTGTCGCAAAGATGATTCCTTGCTATTGTCTGGGATTAACTCTGTAAATTTTTTTCATCTTGCTGGATTCACTGGGTTATTTATTCTTCAATGGCAAATGTCATGTGACAAAACATCCCAGGAGTCTCTATGAAGAGAACAGAAACCCCATGACATCAAACCAATCGAGGAGGGAGGACATGGAAGTAGCAAAGGCCGAGTGTCCAGCGGTGTAACTGCTACTGCGAGCTGGCCCTCTCCAGGACGTGGAAGTCGTAGTGCTTCTTGCTGGTTCTCAGGCGGAACTTGCTCACTGAGGTACTGCTCTGTCTCTTGAGTGCGCTCTGCGCGGCCGCCATGCTGGGGAAGGTGGCCAGAACCGTGTAGGTGGACGCCAGGTCCCCGGCGCGGGAGGGCTCCGTGCCGCCGTCCCCGCAGAACCGCCGCTGCTGCTGTGTCTGCAGGCACTGGGAATCCCGCAGCCACCGGATCTTGGCACCCACTTTCAACAGTTCTCCAAAGAGTTTCTCTGCTTCCATACGAGTTATGCCTTCTGGCAGCTCAGTAATTTCTAGAACTTTCCCCACAACTGAAAGAAGAAAAACAATGAATCTAAATTGGTTATTGCACTTAATGGTACAACACCCTAAATGAAAAATTACTTATTTCATACTTTTATCTCCAGTTGGCTGATACCAAATCCACAGGCTTTGCCTTCCTGATGTTCTAGAGGGCCTTTGGCCTCACATTTAGCACTGCTTACAAATATAATTTGTTTACTTGTACAAGTGTGCAAATAAAAGCTGGGAATACAAAGAGGGTCCTCAGAACAAAGAGGGGAAAATAAAAAAATCGTCAACAACTCATTTTGCAGCAGGTTTCAGAACTCACTATAGCATCTCACTGGCTTCACCAGGTAATGCTTCACACATCGCCATGCCAAAAAAACTAGTCTGTGTCAAAAAAAAAAAAAAATCCTTTCCACTAAATTGTTACAAAAAAACAATTTATCTGTAACTTTCTGTGAAGAGCTGACAGTAGGAAGCAAAAATTCTTTCCAGTAAAGGTATTAAGATAGATGCCATCAGATTTCATTTGGATGACATATTTACCAATTCCAATGAGCTAATCTGTAGATCTCCTAGTATGTCTCCCACATCCATGTGCTTATATATATTAGAATGGGAAAAACTAAAGAAACCAAAAAGAACAAACTAATTTGTGGTTTATGTCTGATTTCACTTGTTACACCAGTAAAAGGAAGCAGGGGTGTGTATAATTAATATTTAATGTAACAGTATCATAGAACTTATGTCCAGTAAACTGACATACTTGCTCTTTTAGTACTCTCCAATCCTGAACTTCTCTGGTCTTTTCTCCAGCCTTCAAAACTACATTTTTCTCATTTAACTTCCCTCTTCCCCTCTCTCCATGTCTTCCTCTCCATCCTTATGTTTCCAATGTTTGCCATGTCCATTTCTGTCCAATTACTCTTCACTCTGGCCCGTCTCACCTGTGCTTTTCTTGAACATTCTCAGTCCATCACCATAATTAATTTTTCTGGAAGACTGTGTCAGTCAGCATTTCCATACCTGGTTCTCCTGCACCAAGATCTGCTGAAGCAGCCTTCTTTGCTGGTTTCTTTCCCCTGTTTCCGTGTCTGTTTCCAGGCTGACACTGGAAAGATTGACATAAAGGGTGTACATTAACGACAATCCATCAATATATTAAAATTTCTAGTCAGCTCAGTGAAAAGCAGTCAGAGGAATGGAAAATAACCTGCACTACCATGGACAGAGAAGATTTTCATATCCAATTTTACTTATTGAATTTGATAATCCTGAAGTCAAGCACATTCGATCCTTCACTACAGAATAAAGGGAGTTTGATTTGGGGGGGGGGAAATCACCTTAATTCATCTTGGAAGAACACTCCCCTGCCCCAGCCATCACATCTCTAAGGTGGAATTGGGTAGAACTGAGCAAGGTAGAGGCAGGGGGTTTGTGTGTCCCAAAAATTAAATAGAGGGAAACACTTTCAACTTTGCTAACACCAATGTTTTGGGTTTGTTTTTCTCATAAGGAACAAACCCACTCTTTTTTAGATATTACCGCATACATTTTTTTTTTTTTTTTTTGGTTGGTTTTTTTTTTAGGAATGGTTACTTGAATAAAAGAAACCAGTTTTAGCAAAGGGACCCCTTTAGATTTTTGAATTAGCTAGTGAATTGCTTAAAATAAAAAAAAATGTTTCTCACTTTTTTAATACAATGAACAAGAACAATGGGGAGTATTGACACGGAATAAAACTTATTGCAAAGCAAGCACCTTCCACTCAGTTACTCTCCAAGTGCAATAACACATTCCCCTATTCAAGGTGGTTGTAATGGCAGTCTTGAATTGGGTTTTTTTTCATTGTTGCCATGAGATTGTTCTCAATTTTAATACCTGTTGGCTTGATACTTGTCCACGTAATAAAGATGGATTGTATTGCAGGGGTTGGCCAAGCAATGGGTATCTGGCATCTCCTTAAAGAGAAAGGTAATTAGAAGGGTTTTTCTGTTACAGAAAATCTTCCTCCAAGTCCATCTCACACTAAATATGTTACACAGAAGAGAAAGCGGAACTGCTGTGCACAAAGCTGAGTGTCTGCCTGGGCTAACAAACACAGAGATGCCCTGACTCCATCAGTGTCAGCCACATCCTGATCCCAAGGTGAAAAGGTACAAACTTTCTGGTGTTTAGGGATTACACTCAAAGTTTTTCTTCACTGCAGTCTTAGATAAGTCCTTTCATTTCAAAATGAACTTAAGTCTAAAAGCTCCTCTCAGTATGCTAATTTAGTAATTTTCATGGTTATAACCCTGATTAGAGCCAGGTCCATCTTCAGATTCCCATTTGTTGCAAGGATGCACAAAGACAATGCACTAGAAGTTTTCAATAATCACAACAGATTAAGGGAGCTAAGAAGTGTGCTTCAAACAGGCCACCAGGAATTTTTACTACAGCAGATAATACAAAGCAATGGCAAAGATTATGCAACAAATAAGACAAAGACAAGAAAATAAAGTTCTCTTTATTAATAAGAGAGACATACAGAATTTTCTGTAAGTTTTGCTTTAAAGTAAATCTTTCTGTAAAATGGACCTGTTAATTTTGAGTTTGGGAATACTTTTGCTCACTGACAAAAGGGGTTTATATGATTGTATTTTAAACATTATCAACTATCCCATTTCAGTGAGAACTCCCCATTTTCTGTTTTTCAGTTGACATGGCAGCAGAGGATTGAAATTCTTCTGCAAGGAATTTTTTGTGTCCTTGGGTGGGTCCTCCTGTCTGAAATTCTAACTGAGGTACAGTCCTGGCTATGTGATCCATCATGTTGTTCTACAGAGGAATGAAGAACACATGTTTATGCAGTGGTGCAATTCAGTGCATCATCAGCTAATTATTTATGGTTAAGACCTGAAGCTAAATTCTAGCAAACATTTTATTAATATTTTCAATGCTGAAATGGGAAATTTCACAATGTGAGAAAGCCAGTGTGCTAGAGAAACACATTAATGAGGAGATGAAAAGCCTTTGAAGATATGGTGGACAGTATCAGTGCACAGTGATAAGGTGAAATGTTAAATTATGTTTGAGGGATTAATTTTGGTGATTTTGCTTCAACAGCAATACTACTAAAGTGAGCCACAACTCATCAGAAAATCCTCATATAACTTGCATTTTAAAACATTCAAATAGAAATCACACACACATTTTAGTTAATTAAAAATGTACCTTGTCCAGGGACAAAAGGTCTAGAAAACTGGGACACAATAGACAGAGGTGTCAGTGTGGGACGGATGTTCTTCATGTTTGACAGCTGGGCTGGTGCTGGTGATTGGGCCGGTGAGGTGACAGGGCTGCCCAGTTGAGGACTATGCTGCAGCTGGAATAAACAACAGGTTAGTGGTTCAAAAAGTACTGCTTGAACATGCTGAACAGCACCCACAGCCTTTGAAGATTTAAATGAAGGTAAAACAGCTCTGTTGGGTGTAATCAGAGCAAGATTTTTATTCCCCAAAAAGAACTTTTGAAAAGAGATATAATATATACATGTTTTAAATCATCCTGGAGAGGCAAACCAGCACCTCCTACCTGTGCAGCACCGTCTAAAGTGCTGAGTTCCGTGGCCTTGTGCCCGCGGGGGTGATCACAGTAGTACTTGCCGGGTTTCCTCTGTGGCGGTGACGGGTTCCGCGGCGCGGCGCTGCCGGGCACGTTGAGCTGCATCATCAGCACCCCCCCGGAGGGCGGCGGCGCCACGGCTGCAACACAAGAGCCACGGGCACTGTCAGCACAGGCCGCTTAGCACATCACCCGGGAAGGCACCAAGAAAAGGATCAATTACAAACGGAGTATGTTTTGCTAAAGAAGCTGCTGATTCTAGAAAACTGGAGCGGTATCTTCCATACAATTACAACTCCACTATCAGCTACACCTGCAATAGTTAACTTAGAGAGGTCTTCCCACAACGAGAGATAGTGGAGCCACTGAAACTCATTGCTGAGAATATTTTTGAAAGAAATTGCTCTATTAGTAGATGACAGTCTTCAACATTCACTGTAGTTTCTATCAGAGCTCTGTGTTGCAGAATGTGATACTAAGTGAAAATATGCTTAATTTAAAAACAGAAGTTTCCTAGTTAGTTTTACATGATGTACAGCAATGCAGACTCAAAATGTTTTTTTCTCTGATAGGATGGCATATATCAGAAAGACCTGGGATCAGCTTTTAGCCTAGGCAAGCTTACAAGTTCTCCCTTAGGAATGCTTTCCTGGGCAGATAATGCAACCTGACCCCCACACGCTGGCCCACTTGGGCACTGTGGTAGCCACAGAAACTCCAGAGTTAGGGGAGAACACCTGAACATTCAGCACTGTTCCACAAGGTTTCACACCAGGAGCTGTGAGGAGAGGCTGCCCAAGAGACAAGCCATCTCCCCCTTCTGCCCCAGGTAATTTATATAATGCCCTTTTAATTTATAAGCAGTTGTTTGCAATTTCCTTTTCTGCTTTACATGCTTTTTACAGCATTTCTCAGAAACCACAATTAAAACACACAGTTTAAATGTCATTTAATCATCCATCTTTAAAGCAGGATTCTGCAGTCTTCTCAATTTACTGCCATGTCATAGCACAGCATCAAGATACAGATTATAAAATGCATTAATCTGGTGTTTTTTTATAATGGGCTATTGTTTTCACTACCCCTGGGCTTCAAAAAAAAGAGACTTCTTCAAAAATCAAACCAAAAAATGTAGCATAACATTAAAACTACATTAGCTTTTGTAAATTGTATTTGGAAATATTAATTACATGGGTAACTGAATTAACAATGTTATAACATCTATACTTTCTTTCTAATGGCAAGAAGTTTTACCCAGGTGTTACAGATTGCAATTGAAGCTTCAGGTATCTGGCCAGCTTTAACAGAGGATATAAATTAAGGAGTCCCTGCAAGAGCCACATTGTGAATATTTCTGTTTTGTTGCACAGCAGGAGAAAATACAACTCTGTTTATGACTGCTACATAATCAGAATAATGTACAACACAACAGTTTTCCACTGGTAAATCCATAAACTTATCCAGTCCCTACAGTAAACCTGAGATATACCAATATAGGTATATATACCTATATACACACTATGTCTAACACACAAAAATGGGTTTAATTTTAATATATGCATATATTTATGTGTTTTATAAATGATAATAATTTACATCTTACTGGTTTATATACAGTATTTTACTCTGCAACACTCTAGCACACTCTTCTTGACTTATCTCTGTTCTGTGAGAATGGAACACCTAAGAAAACCATGTTTGTCTTTCAGAAACATCTACTGTACTGTCTCTAAGAGAGTGTCAATCTAAAATGCAATATAAACTGCAGAAGAAAACTTTATACATTCAGAAAATTGTGTTTTTTCTTTTGCTTCTAGTTCCCCAGCATTTCAGGAAATTAAAACAAATGGAATTCTTTTCCTAACCGAGCACCCTGACACAATGAAGTGTCATACAGTGCATAAGTCAGTTTGCAGACACTTTATGACCTGTCAAATCCCATGAGAAGGGAAACCCAGAAATCCTTCAAAGCCTCCCCAGCTTTACAGTCTGGTCCCCTGTAACACCACAGCTCTGCTACTTGTCTGTGGACCTGCTCATTTGCCCTATCTCAGAGGCCTTCATTCACCATCTCAATGTCTTCACTTAATTGGTTTATTCCCCAGAATTTGCTTCCCCATAGAGGGCTTCCTCCTTCCTGAAACTTACTTAAACCCCAGTTTACAGTCTGAACCAGGCCATCAGAACTGCACAAAACCAGCACTTCCACGATAGATAGGAGGGCAGAAAAACAAACTAGTGCACAGCCCACTTTCGACATTCTGAAATGACAGTCTTCCACAATTAAAGCCAAACAAACTTGAAGCGAAATAGAAACCAAACCAAACCTGCCCATGAACTGCTAATCCAGCTATCTTGCTTCTTATTTGCATCTATCTATTTACTAATAAACAGGTTCAAAAAATACCTTAAAGATAAATGTTTGTAAGAAACACCACATCTGAAGCAGAATCTAGGTCATTGATCTAGGGTTGTTTAATCTAGTGCTTGCTTGCAAAATACTGAGATAGCAGAATTTGAGATTATCCCTTCTTTACCAACCAAGCCTCTAATGTATCAAATTCCCTAATAGTAAATAAAGACAGTGCCACTGTGGTCACAGGATTGTTATGTAATCTCTTGTTTGGTGGCTAACCCTAGTGCTCTTATTTTCCTGACCAGTCCATCAATTTTATGGTTGAACTTTCAGAGTTTTAAGTGTTTGGATATTAACTTTTATAAAGGTTTAATGGATTGACAAGATCTATGTCAACACTGCTTTCAAACACATTGAGGATTCTGTTTGCAGGTCTCTGAAAAACTACCCAAGTATTTTGTAGATCAAAACCTTCTGAACCTGACTTAAGTGTTTCTGCTGAGTAACATTTAGCTGCTAAGGGTGGCCTCCAGGCCATCCCCAAGCAGCCACTGTTTCACTTAAATTCCAAGTTACCATTTTAAAAGATACAATAATAGCAATACAGATGAAGAATTTAAGAAAAAAATAAAATCAGAGATGGCACTCAAATTGCAGTTGTTCTAGCAGTTAGCCATGAAACCAATCTGAAAATTTACAACAGGTTCTAGACAGAATGGCTTAGATGAAAATCCCAATAAAATATACCTTTTTTTGGCTGCATGATGGAAAGACCAGTGGGTGAGCTTTTACATGATGAGGGTGGAGACACTATGCTGTAGTGCACAATGGAAGCAGCCTGCTGTGGCTTTGACTTGGATGAAGGTGGCAATAATGTAGGAGGTGATGGCTTCTGACTTGAATGGTTGCTATAAACTATGGAAGTAAAAGCAGTAAATAAGGCTGCCATAAAAACAAAATACCCCACACAGCTCCGAAGTACCTTCAGCTTTCCAGCAGGTCAAAAAGCTACCCCACAAGGCTCAGTTTTCAAACTCCTCTTAAGAAAATCACTGGTCCTACTCTGTTAACTGAAATCTAGAAGAGTTCTTGAGTAGAAGAGCCAAATATGCTGCTTCCAAAATGTACCTCACTCCTCCTGTCAAAAGGAAGCCCAAATCTCCAAGTTTTCAGACCCATCTGGCTACTCAGGAAAGGATGGAAGTGATTCTGCTGCCAATGTATGGTTCCCATGTCTGTCTTAACCCACCAGTAGATGTGCAAGGCATTATGATGTATGGTATTGGATTTTTAAAAAGTAACTTGAGACATTTCAAAGATTTTTAACCCTGCCTCAGGGTTAAAAATGGAAAATAAATTCAAAAATGCATCAAAAGAGGAAATAGAATACAGCAGTTAATTCTAAATCAAACCCTTAGCAGCAAGTATCCAACCACACAGCATAATAATAGCCAGACATTTTTTAAGCTTATCAATAAAAACTTTGTTCTCCCAACCTGCACACTGCTGTCCTTGAAGCTGCTGTGAGTTGCATGGTGATGATGTTCTAGGAAACTGCATCTGGTCTGATCCAGGAGGCTGCAAATATCCTACAGATGAACTGTAATAACCAAAAAAGAACATGACTAACAGGCATTTATGCTACACTCATTTAATCACGACTTCTGCATTTGCTGTGTACATGTACTGCAAATCACTGAGCTTTTGTTAATTTTAAATCAGTAATATTCCCACCTACCCCTGAATTCATTCATTCTTCAGAAGACTGAAGCTTCCCACCTCTTCCTTAGCAAAAACACGTGCCCTGCCTACACTGAGAAATGTATTAATGCACCTATATTGATATTCTATTTTTGTGTCCATATATCAGCATAAAGACATGCAGAATAACAGTAATAACAATAACAATAATAATAGACTGATTTGTTGTCTTGCTCACTAAAGCAGAACTAGGTCTCAGTTAAGTGATACCCACAGTCCCTGCCATGAGGATTTGGGATGCAGTCCCTTAGCAGGGGGCTGGCCCTGGGCAGCTGGGACACAGCTCTGCTCCAGGGTCCACTGACACAGCCCAGGGAGGAGATGGCTTTTTCCAACAGGGCTCCAGGGGATAAACAATGATTCAGCTGTTTGCAAAATGTAGGAAAAGGGTAACTTTAAAAAAAGTTTATTTATGCCAGGTAGATTTTCAGGGTAATCAGGGGAAAACTAGGTAACAGACATAGTTAGATTCTATTCTAATTCTGTTAGATTCTGCTGAGCACACTAATGCTCAGCCAGAACATCAAGTTGGTGGACCATAATCAGAACAGTGCCTATAGAATCCTGTACTAACAGATAAACATTCTGAGAATAAAACAATTCCTTCAAACTGTGGAAAAAAAGAGTAGGTTTAATCTTCTTGGACCTACTATTTTTACCTATGTTGCCAAAAGTTTTTTCCATCCTTTGTCCCACAGGTCACTTATATAATTTTAAGATTCCCTTCCATTAAAGCAGACAAAACCAAGTGAAAACTAACACAGTTGCTTTCACACAGCTTCTGATCTGCCTACCGATTCTAGTTTTCAGCAGTGACCTGTAGGTTTGACACTCAGCTCCTGCAGAACAGCATTCTGCTTTCCTTGTTCAAGTGCTGCAGCGAAACTATTCTGATGAAAGTAAGGTGCTGTCACTGGTTGCTAGTTTGCTCTGAATTCCTTATAAATGAGAGGGACATTCTAAAGTACACAAAAGATCAAGCAACCAAACTTAATTCAAGAAAAGTCTAGAATTATGCCTACCTGGGACTTCACTGAATCTCAAACATAATAACTACAGAAAAGGATTAAAAAACCTTCAGATACAAAGAACAGGAATTCAGATTTAAGTAGACAAAACCATGTGGTGATGACACAAATACTACTGAAGCCTGCACTCTCAAAAGGATGAACAAGCTTCACACTTGCTGCTTGTTTAAAAGATCCCAGGTATTTTTAGATGCTGCACATTTGTAAGTTCAAAAAAACTCGAGAAATAAAAATTTGTAACAAGCATTAATCCTAATGAATTCTCCTAGGTACTTGCCTATCTGTTCTCAAATAGACTGCTTTGGGGACACGGGTGTATATTCAGGGAGGGCTGTACATGCAGACCAATTTGCTGCTACCAAGGTAGGTAAAAAAAAAGAAAAGAAAAAAGGTTATTTATCAAACAAAAGCCAAGTTTCTATACTTGTTACACAGCCAGCTTGGTGCCAGCAGGCCTCATCTAAATACAGAATAAGATAAACCTTTTCCATACAAAGTTTCAAAAAAGAAGTCAGTCTTTTTCTGGGATTCAAATTACTTTTCCTCTACACATTATTACTGTAATATCTTTGACAAAACCAGTGAATATGGATAGTCCTCTTAAATATTACTGCAGAGAGACTGAGCTGCGAGCACACTGGTGTTTCATGGGTAAGAAATGGAATGCAAAAAATTTAAGAGGTGGAATTGCACTAAAGTATTGCTGAAAGAGCTATGGAGACTGTTTTCCAGTCCAACAAGTATATCACAATTAAAGCAGTACTGCTTGTTTCGCTTAATTGCGTAAGAGCAAAAATAGAGTATATATAGGCAGCCCATAGTCTGCCTTTAAATTAATAGTTTTAATATCTGCAGTACTAAAAGCAGATCCTGTCGGTTCTTACAAAGCCACTAAGCCGCTGAGAAAGCAAGTATCAGTTAAACTTACCTTAGATTATTCTGTTGACCGGATGGAATGACACTGTAGTACACTGGCATTCCTGTGGTGGGCAGCCCTTGGCTGGACTGACTGGGAATTATAACAGGCTGCTGATATGTCTGCTGGGGCACTGCTTGGGAACCTTGAGGCACCGAAACCTGCAACAGGCCACACAGTTAAGATTTTTCTCCTGCAGACAATGTTTCTGCCTCTTGACCATCACCCAGCTGAGATAAGAATTTAAAAATAACCCCAGAAATGGAAAGATCTCCTGGAGTTCTCTAAATCCAGAAGAATGGTGATAACATTAGCTAAAATAACAATGCTCTATTAAAAAAAAAATATTTAAATCTTCTTCCCCCCCAGTGGAAATGTTGGCTCCAAGGGACTCCATGAATAACAAGATATTTTCTCTACAACAGAAAGTGGAGTGGTGGGAAGGGAACCTTCCAAGCTTTTCTTCCACACCCTCTGAACTGCAACTGACACAGGACTTGGCCTTCAACAGGACCAGAACTTGTACAGTTATGACACTTTCTTGTCACTTCAGTTATGGGTTAACTTCTGTCCCCAAAGTCACTTTTGACACCTGCTTGCAGCTTTCTACCATTTGTACCATAAAGCAAAGGACTTAAAGAAAACCCTAACGCCCAAACCCACAGAAGAGTCATTGGAAAGTTACGAATACATTACCCACCTGATAAGATGGCACTGAGGGATATGGAACAATCACACCTTGAATTTGATTCCCAATGTTGTTGTGTTGGCCACTGACTAGATTTTGATTCTGAGACTGCTGAACTCCAACTAAACCCTGGTAGTTTTGCTGCTGGTTGGGCAAAATCTGGTAACCTGAAATTATACATTTAAATCTTATTTAAATCTTATTTTGAAATAATGAACACATTTCAAGCATAGTTGCTTATGCGAAAATACACGTGTAGCAGTTTCCAATGGCTTGTTTAATTGGGCAGCTTCACAACAGTTGAACTTACCATGCATATAAAAAGAAGCCAAAATTAAAATTAACAGATTTACTCATTTGGATTCAGCATGAAATATTATCCATACTGTTTGCAATGCTGCTCCCACATGCGTGCACTACTCATTTACACTCTGGCTTACATGCATTAACACCTTGATTTGATAGGTGAAAGCTGGAAGCACTTGAACAAAGCATGCTAGACAGGATCAAACCCAACTCATTGTCTGGTATTGTGAACAAAGCCGTTCCAGGTACTTCAGTTTGAAAATTCTATATATGCAAAATTCAGCTTGGACTTCAGGTGCCCCAGGGGTCAGAGCATCTTGACTGCAATTCAAAACTAAATCAGACTTCAGGAAAATTTGCATAAGGCATGTGTGCAAATCCTTTCCAAAGGGGAAATTTCCTTTGAAATCTGTAATGCTAAAACCAACTGGGGACTGAGAAAAATCTTCCAAGTTCAAGCCATGTTGGTACACAGTGGAAGATGTTTTATATTCAAAGTTTTCTTAGGGATACAAAGAAAGACTTTCTTATTCACCCCTCTATAGTGTCTCTAAAACAATTTATTATTGCTTAAACTGGTATCCTCTTATGTCTTTCAAAAATTGCCTAAAAAACCCCACCCTGCCCCAAAACCCAAACCAAAACCCCAACAAAACCCCAAGCATGGGTGCCAAACAGGAAATCTGTGCATTTATAAATTCCAACCTAAACTCCCCCTTTTGTCTTTTTAAAAAGCATTTAGCAGGTAACTGCTACCATGATCCAAACACATGCAGAACACAAGTTCTTTTTCTCTCATGTTCTATCATACAGGTGTGCACTACTTACCACGTCAGCAAAACCCCAGCACAGTCAGTGTTTCTGAGACAAAGCCAGTTATCCCTCCAGAATAACAAAACTGGGCTTGTCAAGATGCACTGACGGCAAGAAGAGTCTGTGTTTGAGTTGGACACATTCACAGCCCACTGACCTTGACATTCCCCACGCTTCCTACCTTGGCAAGGAACTATAATAGAGCAAATTTAGCTGCAAAAACTCACTTGGGTTTTCTTTAAACTGTGCTAAATAAAGGCTTGGTCTATTCTGAAAATAATTCAGTTAACATAAAACACCTTTTTGTGAGCAGCACCCACCGATGTTCATTGATTTCATCCACACAGGGTACAATGAACATTGTGCCCTAACAGCCTCGGCTGGCTCTCTATAGAAATTGCAACAATGAACAATAAAAGAAGACTGTTAATATAATCAAATATTGCTTCAGAAAATTAAAGGGAAGAAGGTTCAGTTTGTTAAAACCAAGACAGCTATTCATTAGAAACACACAACACTATAAATATTTTCAGAGGACTAGACAAAACTTTGGAACAATACACGCCTGAAGTAGGATTAGTACTTAGAATTTTTAAAGCAGCAGAATGGGGAGCTGTGGTGTGACAGACCCAATCAGTGCAGTCAGAACCCCTCATACCCCAGAAATTGCAATGGACCCATGAGTAGTTCTGCAGCCTTTTCTGGCACTTGCAGAGACAGACACAATCAATTCTGCAAGCAGAGGGAACTGGAACAATACAAATTGGCTGCCACGAAGGTTCCCCAGAGCGTTCCAAAGAATGCTCTATTTTTAGCTGCAGTTTCACCACTGCAGAGAGTGGGCTGACAGAAATGCAGCACTCAGCACAAACCCCACACCTGCCACAGCAGATTGTCCCATTACACAGAAATACTCTGAAACTGGAGGTAAAAAAAGGAGCAGGTTTCTTAATATTTACATAATTCAAAAGAAATCACAGTTAATATAAGAGAAGTTAACTCACAGAATATAGAAATACATTTTCTGAATAATGCATTAGGAGTGAGAAACCATATATTGAAGAACAGAAAAGCAAGTACAACCACTTGGTTAAAGAGCTGGGAGTTGATGATCTTGGTTATGACTATTACCATTATTGTTAACTTCAGCTACTGCTACAACTGGAGTAGTTTTATCCCTGGCTTGTGAAGCAGAAGCCAGTTGAACTGCAGCTGATGTTCCTACAGGAAGTGTAGTTCAGGCTGGATTTTTAAACAACCTGTGGTTAGGTCTCATGGTAATTGGGCTCACATTAATACGGCAATCAGGAATGCTTTTTTTCTTAAGGAGAGTTTTCTTCTCTCAACATCTTTTAGGCAACGAAAGCATTTTTATTAAAAGCAAACCCCCCAGAATATTTCACCTGAAACCCCTTTAAAAAGGAAGCCAGGAAGCAGCTGAAAAAGAGACCGGTTCACTGTGAGAAATGTAAACCTCTCAGACAGTGTTACGGCCCCGAATCCAACAGCTCATCAATAAAGTCAGGCCACTCCTCAACATTAGACCAGAAGTGGCTTCAGTTGCCATGCTCTCAGAAGCTGTCATCTTTTATCTGAATTTGTGTTTGCAAAGCTATTTCATAGTTAGTAACCACTTTCTGAGATGAACAAACCCCATGGCTTTTATGTAATGCAAGATTTGTAACACTCATTTTGGCCCAGGCACTTTGCTGTATGAGCCAAGTATGTGGCGCCTTTGGCTCAAAACCACACATTGGTAATAAGCATCAACCACTTCAGGTGTAACTTTAAGTCAAATTAATACAAATATCAATGGTTTAAAATAAATTACAAGGGAGAGAATTTTCAAATACACCATCTTATGAGGTGTTTCCAGAACAGATAACAAGACATGGAAACATCAGTTTCTAAAATGCTGATTCAAATTTGCCTATAAAGCATTAAGTGAGAACCAGCAATGGCTAGAGAGCAGTTTGGAGATTTTCAGTTAAACAATAATTCCCAGTTTCTGGTAAGATCCTTCTTTCTCCTATTAGTGCCGGTAAACACCAAGTTACCAAACACTGAATAGAATTATTGGCTGGACCATCCCCATACTACCTAACCATGATCCCCTGATGTCAGAGTGCAGGTACAGGGCACATGATCAAAGCAGTGGTGCAGCTTGTCTGTGCAGCTTGCTTATTTTATTTCTTCCAGGACAGAGAGGAAGTTTATCTGCTGACACTTTTCATCCACAGGCAGTGAAATTCAGTTAAAATACAAAGAGCCAAAAACATATAAGAAAGGAACTTACCTAATAGCAACCTTTGCACCTTATCACCCTGTGCTTTCCAATTCAGACTGGTTTGTTTAGGTACAAATGTACACTGAGCTCTGAGTTGGGGAGTTTGTGTGCTACTCACACAGGGTGTCCCCACAGTGAGAAGTAATCCCCCTTGAGCCTCAGACTTTTTGCTATTAAGTAGTCTAGGTATTAAAAATTCTGAGGAAGGAAAGCAGGTTGTGTAATACAGTTGGGTAACACATCTTTAACACCAGTGGATAACACAAGTTGCAAAACCAAGTCATTTGTTTTCCTTTGAAAAAAATCTTTGTGAATTGAACCCTGAATAACTGCATCAAGTGTTGCTACTACTGGAGCACTTCCTAGAAGAAGTGCAGAAGAGGAGCCATCCCTCTTACATGCTGCTTCATAGGACATAAATAAATCCAGATAATGTTTGTATAAGCTGATCTTCCATCCTGTTTCTGTAGAGCAACATATAGCTGCGGGCAGGGGAAGGAATTAAGACCCTCCTGAAGGAAAATCAGAAGGATGTTATGCATTCAACTAAGAGCTGGTAAAAAAGCCTGGTCTTTAAGGATCTCTGCCGCCAAACATCACTAGTTACTTCTGAAAGTTTTGACCATGAGTCAGGATATTACTGAGAAATAATTTGTTTCAGTAATACAAATCTTATTGAACAAGTCATAACAATATTTAGAAGTACAGATTGTCAGAATAATGGTAGCCTACAGTTAAAATCTGTAAGGAAAAAAAGGACAAGAAGAAAGGAAGGAGATGGAAATCAAGCTTGCTAACATTCACAGAAGGGTAACTTAGACAGTTGAAAAGTCTTTACTAAAAAATAGGTAACCATGTCAGACTCATTATATATTCCATCCAATACCCTGATACCTTTAATCATAGGACAGAAAGACAGAGTAAAGCAGTATCATCAATATCTTCTGCACAGCACTCTTTTCATGCCACAGCATCTAAGATTGGGATCTTTAGCTTAGAACTTTCAGTTAAGGTTAATCAAGTTATTAGTTACTAAGTTACAAATCTTTAAAATTATTAACTTTTAAATTTTAAAACCTCTATTATTAAAGTTACAGCATGAGCCAGTCAAAAGAATGGCTTGAATTCCAAATTTCATGCACAAGTTCCACAAATTTTTCCACCTTAGGTTAGTTACAGCTTGTATTCTACATTTGATCCTCTACTTTATTTGAAATTTTACAGCAAAGTAAGTTTAAAATGAAAAAGCGGAAGAAAAACCACACAAAGTTCTAATGAAATGCTGAAAGAGTTGAACCAACCTGTCTGCTGGCCAGGCTGGGGTAGGGCCTGGTTCTGCTGCGTGCTGTAATGGACAGAAACAGGGCGGTACTGCTGGCTGGAGTGTGGGTACTGGTTGGGGGTACAATAACAGGGTGGCATCTGCAAAGGAACAATCAGAAGAAGTCAGAAATCAGAAAATGCATGCAGCTTTAGAGGAGGCAGACATCTAAATGCAGAACCAATAAAACAAAGATGCAAAATTTATTAAAAAGTGCAATGGATTTTAAATAGTTCAGCGATTCAAAAATCCCTTATAATACATAAATTTCCTCTTTTATGGCCAATTTCCCTACTATCCTTGTCAAAGCAACAATCTCCAATTTCCACCAAGGGGCATTTGAGAGACAAGAAAACTATGCAGAATATGAGCTGCAAGTAAATAGGAAAACCCGTGTGATTGTTGCTCCTCAAGTAAAATGAAGTCATTCATTACAAACCACGGACCCAGAAAAGACCCCAACCCCGGAACAAAAGCAGAGCTGCAGTTCTGCAGAGAGCCCCAGACCGAACGAAAAGGTACCGAGCAGAAGAGCGGGGTCAGTTTTTCCCTGCAGCGTTCAGGAGTCTGTAGGGGCTGTGGTACCTGTGGCACGGGCTGCTGCACATATCCCTGCTGCGGGAGCACGGGCTGGCCCACGGCGTGCCCGGGGCCCGAGTAGGCCGGCGCGGGCTGTGCCGCGGGCGCGGCGGCGGGTGCGGCGGTGAGGATGTAGCCGGGCTGCTGCGGGGGCTGCAGCACCACGCCGGGCTGGAACAGCGCCGGGCCCGGCTCGGCGCCTTCGGCCGGGGGCTGCCGCGCCAGGCTCAGGTGGCTGAACTGCGATCCCAGGTTGTCTTGCTGCAGGCGTGGGAAAAATGGGAAAAACTACATTTGCAAATGCACGTTCAAGGAAAAGAAATAAAACAGCCAAATAGCTCAGTAAGTTTCAGACAGTACATCTCACATTACTGGGCAGTAGCAACAGCAGCCAAAGAACAACAGCAAAGAAGATGGAACAGTAGCAAATTATCTTCAGGGCTGACAGCAGGAGAGAACATCCATGTTCAGACTTCACTCTTTTCACTGCAAATATTTTGCCTTTTGGATTACATCTGCCTTTATCTACTTATAGTGAGAATTCATTTGTCAAAAAGAAAGTTCAGGATTTGTGTCACTAATGATTTTTGACTAGACTCCAAAACTTGAGTGAAAACATCTTATCTCAGTTAAAATAGCAGGATGCATTAGGATTGCTGAAGTAAATTTTTGGTTTTAAGAGTTTAACATAATGAGGTTCTAATCATGAATTAAAGTACACTCCTCTAACTCAATTATCTACATGAAAAAATTAATTATCTTTTCATCTGAAATCAAGTAACCAAAGTGAGAAATGTGTTCCAGTGGTCACCTTCTATCCGTGTTTTATTAACAGCTGAAAGGATGCCATTGATTGCACTGAGCACTGCGAGGGTCCTGTGGAATCTGAAACTTCTGTTACTGTAACCCCAAGCTCCTCTTCTTAACAAGCAATTTAGAGTCAAATTAGCAACATACTGAAAATTAGCAGTGATCACTAACTAGTATTGCTTTTTTTTTTTTTGCTAAACAGGAAGATGTGGTTCATACTGCCAAAGTGGACTCTCCAAACATGCAGGAACATTAACAGTATTTCAAGACCACTTGGTCTTAGATCATCCTGAGGATCGGAATTAATCAAGACATGTAAGGCAAGCTCCATCTTTTACTGATTAGCTACATTCACATTTTATGATGTTATGATTTTTTTAGTTTCCAGGCTAAAGATATTATTAATTACTGCCGGAAATATGAATTTGCACCTAAAGCTGAATTTAGTGTACCTTTAGTATGTATTTAGTACATCTTAAAAAGCCTTATTTTCATTAGATAGTAATCTAACTTTGGTATTTCATTCCTTAATGGTGCCTATTAAATGCAGCTATAATGCTTTTCTACATTCGATTTTACATTCTGCTTTTCCAAATCTGGAGTTTGAAGAGAAGATACTGCATGTGAATTTGTCTTAGCTCTAAATATGTCTGAAGGATGAACCCAAGGCACACCACACTGATATCTGTTACACTACCAGTGTAAGTAAAGTCTGACCTGGTCACTTTGTCCTGCAGTGACAAGCAGGATTCAGCCCTGGAACACGCCATTCCCAATAAATGGAGAAAGCACTCTCCTGGTGCCAGCTACAGAGGTGCTACACTTGGATTACAATCCAAGACCATCAATTCTTTTCATTATGTTACATAAATTACCATCAGCAGGAATAAATTCAAACTGCCAGGGCACTTAGTATTGGAACCAATTTCCTGAAAGTGAAATGCTTTGAAATTACTACAAACAGGAAGGAGTTTCCTTCTCTGCTTTAGCACCTATTCAAACTCTCAACTTCAGGAGCAACATCTCTATTGAATTCAGCTAAAACTGTATATATTAGAAGACACTTCTGATTATTGTTGAAAATTAGCTATTGTACAACACTATGGTGAGTTAACCTTGGCTGGCTCCTAAGTGCCGCCAAGTCACTCCATCCTTCCTCTAATCCTTAGCAATACAGGGGGACAAAATATGATGAAAAGCTTATGGGTCAAGAAAAGTACAGGAAAATCACTCACCAATTACCACCACAGGAAGACTAAATTTATTTATGCCAATTAATAAAAGAGTAGGATAGTGAGAAATAAAAACAAAACTAAAACAAACTTCCCTCAACCCCACTGTTTCTTCCCAGACTCAACTTCACTCCCAAGTTTTCGACCTCCTCCTTCAAGTATCACAAGGGATGGAGAATGGGGCTTGTGATCAGTTCCCAGTCATGTCTCTACTGCTTCCTCCTCCTCACTCTTCTGCTCCAGTATGGGGTCCCACCCACAGCATACCATCCTTCCTAAACCTCTTCAATGTGGGTTCTTCCCAAAGGCTGAAGTCCTTCAGGACTGGAGTGCCCTAGTGTGGGTCCTACCTGAAAACCTGCTCCTGAAGGCTCCAGCTTCCTTCAGAGCACCTGTGGGATGCTCCAAGGGCTGCAGGGCAGATATCTACTCCACCATGGTCCTCCATAGGCTTCAAGGGGAGAATCTGCTTCACAAGAGTCTCCTCCCCAGGCTGCAGGCTCTGCTCCAGCACCTGGAGCATCTCCTTGCTCTCCTCCCTCTGGCCTCAGTATCTGCAGATTTGTTTCTCCCTCCTCTCCCTCAAACCGTTTTCCAAGCACACTCAGAGGTGCCACCAGTGTGAATGACTGACTCAGCTTGGGCTGTGCAGTATCAGCCCTGGAACTGCCTGAAATGGGCTCTGTCCAACGTGAGGCAGCTCCCAGTCGCTTCTCCCAGAAGCCATTCCTGCAGCTCCCTGCTCCAAAACCTTGCCACATAAACTCAACACAAACCTGCACTCAACTCAGTAGAGTATCAGAGCAGACTTTGACCTGGACTCTAGTTCAGATTCTCCCTTAGGTAACAACTCTCCTTTACTAAGCTTCAGTTTCACTTTGTGTGGCTTTTCTTTTTTCCTGGTTTCTGAGAGACTAAGATATTTTATTTCCAGCTTCTACTCATCAAACCATGGATACCAGAGAAGAGGGAGTGTTGAAAGTTCTACCAAATAGGCTACAAAGAGGTAACCAGAAAACATCAGAGCAGCTGATCCCTCAGAATGTATTAAGGTTCAGCAGAAGAGTGAGCAGACAATAAGAAACAACGGAAAGAGGTTAATCCAGAGACATAAAAAGGTAGCGACTGGCTAATGAAACAGCACTGAAAAACTTCCTTTACAAAGGGAAAGGGAAATAATGCAACTCAAAATACAGAGATTTATAGGCAGAGCCTTAATTGCATATATTCCTGCTGAACATGAAACGTTCCCATCTCAGGCTCTCAGGTGCTGTGTCACTGTGATCGAGAGCCAGTCACTACCCTGGTACCACAGGGCACTCAAACAGCCAAGCAAAGGTCAGCAGCCACCAGAGATGAGCCTGTGCAGGGAGCAGAGAAGAGAAGGTGTAATACCACAGAGTATTGCTGTGCAGAGGAGGCTGGCAGGAGCGGGGGTGGGTACGACACTGCAGAGTACTGGACAGGCTGGGAGGAAGGCTGCAGAGCCCGCAGAGGCTGCAGAAACAACAGGGTTATGAACAAGGTTAACACCAAAGTAAGAGAAGTGAAAACAAGTATTTTGTAACAGAAAAGCAACTGTGCTCCAGAAGAGCAACTTGCTCCACTCTGAGAAACAGAATGGATACTTCTTTTTCTTAAGCTTAAGACTGCATAGAATGAAAACAGAAGTAACTCTGAATATCTCAGTCTCCCAAAAGACAGTCATTGCTTTATTTGTTACACGCTATATTAGCTAGGTCAGCAAATTGCTTCTAACATTTACATGTGTTTTAAACACAAGCTCTTTCAAAGCATCTAAAGGAAGAATGAATTTACTACTAACCATGGATTCAAACATACTACTTTCATTTATTCAACAGTAGTAAAATATTTTCTCTAGATAGTTATCATTGCTCATAATATTTCAGGCAGGATTAATTCCAGCATCCATTCAGAAGGCAATCAGAGAATTAGTACAGAATTTGTGAAGAAAATGGCAAATACTACATACACACTTCTGTGAACTAAAGAGTACAAATGAGACTTTTCAACACAGATCAGCTCTACTGTGGCATACCCAGCTATCTGAACAGGTTTAAACAGGGAAAACAAACAAAGGTAAAAGGTTTAGATGAAGTTCTATAAATAACTTTTCGATAAAATTTAAGAACCATCTGAAAATACCACAGGAGACTAAAGCCAGTACCTTGGTGCCTGAAATAGCTGCTGTGGAGAGGGAGAATTCTCCCTTCTCCTGCCCATATATTTTGCTTTTCTTCTTCTATGGCTGGGGCAGTCTTTAATCTGGCCTATTTGACTGAAGTCTTGTACAGAACAAGGATAAAATACATCCTGTACTCATGTGTGTGGTTTTGTGAGCAGAATGGGCTGAAGTGCTACTCGTGAGATGTTCATGCTGTACCAGTCCTGAGCTACTCCTTCTGTGCCATGACTCCTGTTTGTGCTGTACAGCCCAGGAATTCATCTGGCTGAGAAACAAGTCTAAAACAAGAAACCCAAGGTTCCAGTTGGATTAACTCTCTTCCCGGCTGCCAACTATATTGCTCTTAATGCCTGGGTAACTCAACAGTGCATTAGGGATGAAGGCAGAACTTCTTGGTAATGGAACATTTTCATACTAAAATTCCTCAGTATTTTTAAGAAAAGGCTGCCTACTATGCTGAGCAGGGCTGATAGTTGTGTGGACTAGGAGGGAAAAAGCCCAGTTACCCTGACCTGTGACTGTTCTTCACATCCACTGCAGAAGAATAAATGACCCCCCCTGCCCCTGTTCCCAGAGCTGAGTGAGAGCCCCAGAGTCCCTGAGCATGTGTTTGACAAGTGCACCTGTGAGAGGATGGGGTTAGCTCCGGGCTGGTGCTGGCCAGGGCTGGGCAGGGCTGGCTGAGGTGCAGCTCCAGGCACTTGGGTCCTAACAGGCTGCTGAGGCAGGGGAGGGTTGTACACAACTGCAGTGCCATCGGGATTGAGGAACGGCTGACCTGCCCAGGGGAGAGACAACAAACACAACCAGCTGCACCATCTCAGCTGGGAGAAAGTACACAAATATACTTACAGCAGGCAAAATGAATAAAATAATAAAAATTAAAAATAAGAGAAATCATACTGGTTTATATGACAGATTCATGCCAAATGCCCACAACTATAACAGCAATGACTACATGCAGCTACAACCCAAACATTTAAAATGATACCCCAGTCTTTACGTAGTGATCACACATAAAAATTTCTTATATCCTACTCAATTTGAAATTGATTTTAATCAAGTAGATTGAATATGACAGGAGTAATAAAGGAAAACTCCACTAAAATACTGTTTTAAGGATCTCTTAAATATTAATCTCCTTAACAAATGTGAAAACCAATCAGAACACAGGAGAGCTTAAAAGCAAATATTTTTTGAAAACTATATAAAGCAATAACTGCCCTGGTATTCCCATGACTGCTAATGAGATTACTGAAAAAGGACTCTCTTCCCTCTCTTAGATTAATTGGCTTTTACCTTTCAAAAGAAATAACATAGAATTATTCTCCTATTTAATAATTTGCAACCTCAATATTACAGCAATGGGCCAATGAAAAAGAGCTGAAAAATAAACTCCATAAATGTAAATTATAAAAGAACTCCAGTGATTTCTTTTTGTGCAGAGTTGGAAAAAACCAAAACAAATCAAAGGAACAACAGCCTGGCTGGCAGGGACCTGTGCCTACCTGCTTAGTGACACGTGTCCTGCATTGGCTTATTCTGATGCTTAAAGGGCCCAACACTGATGTAAATTTTTCTCTTCTCTGATTTAAAGATATTCTTGTCCTTTCCAGAAAGGTTTAAGCTGAGCCTAAAGCCTTTGCACCCTGACAAAGCACACCAATGCTCCTCCAGGCTGCTTGGTTCCTTCATATTTAAATGCAACTGCCCAACATAAAGAATGAAACAGTTACTGAAGAAAGGACTGAGGAATTCTTGGCAGACACAGAGGGCGCACCAACAAACTTGCAAAAATAAGCTACAGCAGCTGGACTGCAGCTCATCAGGTGATACTCAACTGAGCCCAATAGATTTCTCTTTAACACTCAAGAGAATTTGCAATGTTCAACAGGGCCTGAGATTCAATTATTTCCTTCTACCAGTTCCTGCCAATCACCAGAGCTTCACTTATTTATTGGAATGGCTGGGTAAGAACTATCTCTTCCTAATTATTAAGGCACAGAATCCTCTGTCAGAAACTCTGAGGAGCCAGCTCTGCTTTGGCTGGCATTGGAACAATAAAGCCAGAGGAACAATTACAGAATATGATGATTCGAGTACATTGGAAATCAAAGTTTATCTGAACCTAAATGTTCCTCATTCTCAAAGTGTTCTTTATCTTCTATAAGAAGCTCATTAGACATTAACATAATTATGAAAGACTACTAATGAACTTAGCTCTAAGATGACAAATACATTCTCCTCCAAATCCAATGGCTATCTATGAAAATTAGGTCCTACAGTGATTCATTTGTAACTGAATTTTTAGCAATTGATTCATACTAAGAAAAAAGAGAAATTTATCTATTTCAATGTTATACCTTCTAATTAAAAAAATATTTACATGATCATTTTAACAATCCCAATGAGAAACATTTTGCTTCAAATGTCACGTGCAATTATATTCAAACATAATCAAGTCCATCTACAGAACGATAGTAAATATAGTCTGAAATATTTTCTTTTCTACAATGAAAAAAATCAGTATACTAAAATTAAAATATATGATTTCCTAAAATTATGATCTTTTACACAAAAGGTAAATTAAGATTTTCAGTACTTCCTAATTTCTATGATCAGTAGAAGTTTGTCTAGAGAATGGTAACTCATTATTTAATCCAGACAAGTAATTACAGATCTCCTTGCACCTACATTATGACGTATAAATTTTCTACTACTGGCTAAAAAAATACCAGTATTGGCCAATAACACCAACACTGATTTAATCCTGTTTTAAAGTGACAAGGAGAAGCTTAGAAATAGCATTTCATCCTGTGCTTCTTTTTGCACTTGTATTAACTCAGCCTTGAGCATAGAGATGTTGAGTATGTTGCGTAAAAAAAAATGAAGATTAAGTTCTTTCAAGTCAATATAAATCCTTTCTCAGGCCCTCTCCCCTCACTGAAACTGTTTCATAGTAGCACTGGAAAAGACATTCTCCTCTCCTGGAAAAAGCTGAAACAATTAAGTTATTCTGTGCTCTGGACAGTATGTCATATGATTTTCATATTTTGTGCAAATCACTCATTAGAATTTTACATGTAAGTTAAAACTCTTTTAGAGAAACTCATGTGAGTTTACTCATTCCTTTGATCCTCCAGTCATGCTTCCTTGTTAAATTAAATGCATTGAACAAACACAACCACATTAAAAAATAAAGGACAAAGGACAATATTGACATGAAATCTTATGCAAACACTCGTGCATTTTTTACCAATTTCCCCAGTGTAATAGAGACACCCCCAAGCATGTACCAACCTGTTTGAGGGTTGACCAGCACACTGCCAGGCGGGATGCCCGCTGCTTCCAAGGGAAGCAGAAAGAAGCTACTGCTAGCAGCAGGTGCCACTTGCCCGCTCATGCCACCATCAAAGGAAAGAGAGTTACTAGAGCTGACAGTTGGATACACGGCAGGCGTGCCAGGAGAGGGCTGGCTTAGAGCTGGCACTGGAAGAGGCTGCTGGCTGTGAGAGAGAGAACCCGTGGAGGACCCTACACTACTAGAAGACTCTGAACCTAGGAAAGGAGTAATGAGAAATTGGTTTTACCTGGAGACAGTGACATCATGCTCACTTTAAAATATACACTTGTAAGTGCTCACCCTTGAAAGCTCAGCATAAAGCACGTTATTCAACAGCAGCCTTGTCAATGGACTCCCCCACCATCTCCCCTGGAATACCTTTGCAAGGTCCCTTCTGTGAACCAAGGGTCAATTCAGCACTGCTTTGCACTGCAAAGTGAGGCTTTCATATCTAGCTGTTTTTTTGGTGAGAAAATGCAAACCTGTACCTCCAGAATTCATGGAAGTGAGGCAAGCATGGACCAGTTTTTTTCCAGTCCTGAGGCCAGATCTTCTCTGACTCAGCTGCTGGACAATTTGCACTACATTAAAACCCTCAATGCAATTTGTTTCCTCCTCTGACAATCTGCAGGCAAAAATCAAGAATACAGCTAGAAGAAATGAGGGTAATATGGTAGCATTAGCCTGGCTTTATGCAGCAATTCAAATTTCAAAGGGGTATGAAATAGCCAATTGAAATCAGTAATCATTTTACAGATATAAATGACTATGAACGTTGCAAGGCAGTGGAGAACCAGACCCTGAGCTTCCTGAAAGCCAAGGCATGCAGCTAAAAGAAATATTCCAAAAGTTCAGTATGCAGAGGTCTGTGGAACTGCTGTTCCCAGGTCTCTCTACACCTGGAGCTTTAGGTACACAGTTTAGCAAAGACTTAGCAAAGAAATAAGAAGTGTGTGATACTTGCAGTACTTGGAAACAGAATATAGTTGTTTAAATTTACAAACTCGTCATTAGCAGCCTCTATACAATCTAGAAGAAAAAGCAAGACTCAAAAAGCACTCTAATGGAATTTATGTACTGCTTGAAGTTACTTTGCACTCCTCCATCAAAGTTGCTAATTGTAACCCTTCTACTTGTGCTTTCTAAGAGAGCATAGCTTGAAGCATTGGCCTTTTTTATTGGTGAAATCAAGTGAAATCAAAGCTGTTAATTGTAAACTTGGTGAGACTGCACAACCCAGCTCTGCAAAACTGTCATTGCATGAGCAGAGTTACTTGGATTCATTTCCAACTGTATTCACTTCTAGACTATGCAGAGAAGTGAGGCTGAAGCCATCATAACCAGAGCTAATTACAGCCCTGAACAACATGAACAAACCCAAGCTCAACATGTGCCAAATCACCATAACCTGAACTGTATGAAGCAACAGCCATGAAGGTGAGCATTCCAAACCTGGAATGTCCAAACCTCTCAGAATGCCAAAATAAAGTTTCCAGCAAAAATTTTTAAGAATCCATTTATGTGCTTGAAATTTAGCCAATGAAGATTTCTAAGATTTTTATTGTCAGGCCGCAGCTTCTTTTCAAGCTGTGCCAAACAGCATCACTACACTGCTAAATGGAATAACTCCGAATGATGGCACAGTTCTACAGCAGAAGTACCTTGAAATGTTTTGGGTTTTTTATACAAGTATACAATGGACAAACAGAATTTGTTACTGTTTTACTGCATTAAGATATAGCAGTGTGGCCAGTTACCTAAAAGGTAGTGGTAATCTAAGGAAAAGCAAAAAATTTGAAAATAGATCCTCATTAAAAATCAGCTTTATAAATAAGATCAAAGCCAATATTAATAAGGCAAGCAATTATATCCTGCTTTTTTAGAGTTCTACTTCAAATTCTAAAGCAGCCCACCAGTAACCCACCCATGTATTACAAGCCTCAAAATTCTCCATGGATTAGCAACTGGATCAAATTGTGTTGGCATTCTAAATACAAATATTTACTAATTTTCATTTTTGTCTCACAGAAGATTCATTCCCATATTTTTTGAGATTTTATTTCCACATTAATTACAAGGTAACACCCTTTGAAACCCTGACTCTTACGAGTATTTTCCCCCAACATTTTTGAATCTTAAAATTATACAGTATGCTTTGTTTCACTGATGTAATTTCTCAGCATCTAAAAATTAATTAAGCATTTTAACCATATTCATTTTAATGTAACAGAAGAAAGAGAACACAATAAAAATAACTACCAATTCATAGGCATTAATGCTGTTGTATCTGAGCTAGAAGGATAGTGCAGAGTTTCCTAAGACTGTGCAATGCAGCTTTGCCCCACTAGAACCAAAGAGCTGCACTCCAAGTATTTGATACAAAAATATTTCTGGTAAAAACCATTTTCAAACCCTTTGCATGAGATCAAAGACATTGAACTTCAAGCCATCTACAACACACTTGAAGATTCTCCTTCCAAAGCCAGAAGTGTTCACCCCATTTGTGACATTATGGCTCTAGGGCTGGGTGTGTTGATATTCCCTGTGTGCAGCCCCTGTATCCAGAGGGAATGGGATGCATGGAGCCTCCCCACCCAGGACATCTGCCGTGCCCACCCAGCTCAGCCCCCAGAACCTGCTGTACCTGTCTTGGACAGCCTGCCCGTGCTCTTGCTGCTGCCAGAGCTGTCCCCACGGGTCAGCACCGAGATGCCGCTGAAGCTGCTGGCCTTGGTGACCGCGGGCTTCAGGTTGCGCAGGGAGCTGTCGGAGTCGGTGCTGCTCCAGGGCCGCGGCTCACAGTACCGCAGCTCGGTCTCCGTGCTGCTCTGGTGGCTGTTGGCTGATCTCACCGATGCCTCCTTATTGATTCTGCAAGTTACAAACTCAACTTTTAGCACAAGCAGCACTTGCAAATTAAGGGAAAAGAAATAAAAAGAAACAAAAAACAAGAAGGAAAAGATAAATGCATGCAGAAGACTTTGGGTTTTGCTTTTTTAAAAGAAAGCATCAAATACCTAAGTATCTGTCGTCTTTGTTGTGTACTATTAGTTTCTTCCTCCTGGATTCTGTTGACATTTTAATAAGATAACTTAATATTTATTAAGAAAATAGGAAGACAAAACAGAATTAAACAGCAAATTTTCTTACCTTTTATCAGTGAAATAATTCTCTTGGGAACACAGGGACTGAGGGGCAAAGAAGTGCAGAAATTAATATGAATGGCATCTAGAACCCCTGCTACAAAACACACAGCAATCTGGAATCTTCTGCATTATACACAGACTTCTATAGCACCCTCTTTATATTAAGCTGCCTGAAAAACTTTACCTCTTGATGAATAATTTCCATGAGGAAACAAGACAATATAAAAAGGCCCATGTGCAAGAAATCAAAGTCAGCATGAGGATAGTTACAATGCTGCTCAGTTGGTTTCTATCAGACTTTTTCTGAAGTTACAGTTCTTCCCTTGGGCCTTTGGTGTTTTCTGTGACTTGTCTTCTGCTGGGAAAGGTGGAGGGGGAGAGGCCATTGCTGCTGCAGTAACTGCTCAATGCCCTGGGTACCAGTCTGGGTATGCTACAGAGCACACAGAACAGAACCAAAAAGGCTGCTCCTTACTCAAATTATGTTGTCCTTGACTGTGACTCCCAACATCTGGCACAAAGCTTCTAAGAGTGTAATACATGGTAAATTAAGATGCAAAAGGAAAATGTAATTTTACATCCAAAAGTCCATTCTTCTTGTTTGTAACTAAGGTGAACAAAAAAAAATAAATTAGCCTCTCAAGAGCTCATTACTCTCTTCAGAATCTGGTTTTGGATGTGCAAGAGTTATAGATATATGTCAGAAATAGATTAGTAAAAGTAACACATATTTTTAAAGACATATCTGTTCTGTTTTATTCAACATAATCACTACTTGCAATTGAATCGTAGCCCCTACAATACTGTCCTGCAGGGTATCTCCAGTCAAGAGATCAGACTGCCAGATTCCTGACAGGAATTTCATATATAGGACCTCAAATAATTTTACCGTGGTTGCTATAGATACAAGTGAGAAAAGAGTTTTTTTGCTTTTTAATTTGCTTGGGTTTCTTTCTTCTTTTAATTATTGCTCTGAGCAACTGAAAAGATTGCAATACCAAAACTCCATAATTAAATTGCAGTGAGGGGCGAAACAATGCAAAGGGGGGAAACACATTGCACTAGGTAATGCTAGAGAACACTCCTCAATAATTCCTGGGTCGTTTGAGTTTCATACAGCAGCAATTAGAGAAAACAGAAGATTTCTCAGTAATTGCAGTATCATTTAAAACTCACTCAAGGTCACACTCTCTTATCTGCTCAGTGTCATTCAGAAATAGAAAGTTTCCTGAAAAGCCACCTGTGCATGTATGTGTGTGAAGGGTTCCTAGCAAACAGTGCCAGACTGGCTTTGATACGTACATCTTGTGCAAATATCCTTTCTCTAGCTCTCTGATATTCTTCTTCACGTTCTTCTATGGATTTACTTCTTCTGTCATCTTTTAATCGTATTCTCATCTAAATTAAGTAGCACAGTGTCAATTTAAGCAGGAAAACAGTAAGAATGCACAGTCAAACAGAGCAAGTGGAAGGAATAAACCACATGTGCTTTACCTGGTTGTCATCTTTGTCTAAACTAGAGTTATCTCTCTTAAGGATGTACCGCTTCTGGAAGTCATCGCTCTTCTCATCCTTTATATGCTCACAAAACTTTTGGTCAGGTCTGAGAAAAGTGGTTACAAAGAAAATATTTATGTTTTGCAAATATACTGCACACACAGTGGAACAAACTGAAATATATTCAAGAGTAATTTAAAATATACTTAATATTCTAACTGAAAAAAATAGATTTTGGCTGTCTGGGCAATGGAAAAGATGAGGTGCACCTCTGACAAATCCTGTCCTGAGGCATAACAAACCTGCTTTTAAAAACCTCTTCCTCCTTCAAAGCTTTTGCTGCAACTCCCAATTAAGGTGGGAAGCAAACCACATGCCTTTGGGGAATCAGAAGTGCTTCTGAATCCCAACTGGTGCCATGCAATGGATATTGGGCATGCATGGAAGTGAAGACAGGTGTTTGCTGCTAGAGCTGCAATACCTCAGAGTTCATTTCAAGGGAAAACAGAAGAAAGAAGGTGCAGGAGAAAGCACTGAAACTTAGAAACTTCTAAAACAAAATTAGGTAGAAATGAGTAAGAGAAGAACAGTATAATGCAGGCAAGCAAGAGCTTCACACAGTAATATGGAGAGAGTGAAGCAACAGATTATAAATATTGCTTTGGTATTTTATCTACTTTGTGAAAGAAAATGTGGTATTTTTCAAATCCTTGTTTTTAAAGAGATATACCAAGTACCTGAATAATGAAACTACTGGTATCATAAGAGAAGAGCTCAGACAATCAGGAAGTATTTGTCTAATAGAGGACAGAATAAATGTATGCTCTTCTCTATTTCTGTTATTTATCATTATCTAGGATTTCTGGATGGAGTGAGGGGAGCTTTTTCTATGAAACAGCCAGCCCTGCCTATTGGGTACTGGATGCCCAAACATAATTAGCAGGCATTTCAGAGAACCTTTAGACTGTCTTACCTCTTTCTCTTAAAGGTCTCTGATTTTACTGCCCTGCAATCACCAACTCCCACTCCACTGAGACGTGCCAGTGTGCACTGGGTGGTTGATGTCAGTAAGATCCCTGCTCGGCGAGGGAGCCGCGAACCTGCCTATGAGGAAAAGGTAAGTTTGGCTTTATTCCACATGGAGCAGATCTCCAAGGTTTTCTTTCTACATTCTTATTTTATATCCAAAGTGATTTAAAATAAGAATATTAAAAACATCAAGAATCTTTATGTCTGCAGGTTAGATGAAATGCCTGCTAATTAGTAACTACACCTACAGGGGCTTCCAGAGGCCAGAAGCTATTTAAATATGGTCTAAAAATTTTTTTAAAAGCATAAAAATGAAGTAAGCTTTTATTAGTTCTTATTCCACAGCTGAAGTGCTAGACTGAAGCTTGAGTCTGGAGATGCTGGTAGATGCAAAGGCAACAGATTTTAAATGTTTGGCTTTCAATGTCAATTTAGATATAGATTGTACAGCCAAAGCAAAAACACATACATAAATAATACAAGTATTCAACTTATATTTAGGCTATATATGTTTCTAAAACTTCTGAGGAGAAACTGTTTACTTAAGTGTAATTTCAGTGTGGCATATTCAGTCCTACTGACTCTAAAATAGGGTGGATAATTAATTTTTTTCCTCTCAAAGCTATTAAGAGTGCACCTAGAGACTGAGATTAGGATGCAGGCACTGTAAACTCCTGGTTTCACATTCAAGACCAACAAAAAACAGAGTCAGGCAAATGCTCTAAGTTAAAACTAGAAACTAGGTGCCATAAATATGTCAACACATTAGACCTTTGTCTTTTTGAGAGAGTGAAGAGACAGAGCAAGTACAGAGGATGGAGAGAACAGCTGGGTCCCTTGAATAAAAGTCTTAATTCCATACAGGTTTCAGAGTTGCTCTGGCCCCAGTGCTACCTTTTCTGCAATATGGATTTTGCTGGGGATTTCTCCAAGAACTCCCCAGCCCTCACAGTAAAGCAGCACACCATGGCTTGTTAACCTGGTTGACATTTCCACTGATGTCTGTCTCTCCTGCTTTGTTTATTTGTAAGGCCATGAGAGATCTGTAAGCAATGTTATTCCAACAGAAGAACTTCAACAGATGAATTTTCCCAGTAGAATTTTACAACACAAAAGCCAGAGTTGTGCAAATCCCCTCCCTTCACCAAATCAGAAATGACCTCCTTCTAAGATAAGAGCTGGCTCTGCTATCCAAAAGAAACAAAGAATGCACTTTGTACACTTTACTAGTGTAAATCTTTAAACAGATAAACAGTTGCTATAAAGTGGTATTTCACAGAAACAAAGTTAGAAATGCATTCTGCCAGAAAATCAACAAAAATTCTTAACTTAGAGATAACATCCATCTTTCTCCAGAAGAATTCAAACATGAAATAGATCACATTATTACACAGCAAGAACATGAACAGTAAAGAGGTCTCAACTACCTCTCCTTGATGCCTGCTCCCAAGTGAGGAGACAGACCTCACCTGCTACCTCAGCACTGCCTCACACATCCCAGGCGTTAGAGCTATGCACCAAAAGGGTTTTTCAAGGCTTTGACACTTACATTCTTGTATTGCTAGTTTTATTTACTATGACTGACTTCCCACTCTGGTCCACGTTGTGCTCTAATCCAAAGTAAGCAGCTACCCTGTGCAACAGCATTCTATGGTAAGATGTCATTGGGGGAAACTTTTTTCTTGGTACTCTGGAAGAAAGGAATAGTAGCTTTATTAAATAAACAGGAACACTCTTGAATTCTTTTTTCCTATGAGAGTACAGTACTTACTCATTATTACCAATGAAATCTAAAATTTCCTGTTCTAATTTCAGCAGCATCATTCTGTCCCTGAAAATAAAAACACAGCAACTCACATATGAGACACTCCAATAACTGCAGTTGTATTCATCTTAAGAATACACAGATCAGAGCTGTGATCAAGGGATGATGGCAGACTGGAAATAGGACCAGCAGGTGTCAAATGCAGAATTTTTAGGACAAAGTACTCTTTTTTGCTATTGTGTATTGAACCTGCCTAGTGAAAATGCTGTTTTGCTCTCAGATATCAAGAGTACACAGATCCTCCAAGAAGTCCCTGCCCAGGAGGCTCAGCAGGAAGTGCAGTCATGGAGAAGACAGGCTCCAGGAGGAAAAGCAGCACTGAGGTTGTTCCTTGTTGGTTGGTGTGGGCAGGGAGATGTGCAGAGGCCTCAGCTGGCCCTTGGATTGTGAAGCACATCAGGGGATCACTGAGAAAGTGATGGGGCACATCACCAACAGCCAAGGCCTTAAAGCTGGCACATGTGGCAATGTGCTGACGTATCAGATATACAAAAAAGCTAAAACTCAAGGTGGCAGAAAGGAACATTGTTCTTGAAACTGCTTGAGTTGGTTCTAATAACCTATTAAGATGCAATGAAATCCAATGATGCACAGTTCATAAACAAGTAACTAAGTTTCCCAATCACTGTGCATGGAAACCCATGGAGATCTTCACATACAACTCCTTATTTCCACTGGGATGCTTCCTGGAACCACCTAAGCCAGGAACCACCTAAGAGTCTCACAGAGGTCCGTGCTTTTTAATTTTATTCTACAGAACTATGGTTTTGGCCATATTATGGCTCATGTCACATTTTTTCTGAATAAAATAGAATCTAAATAAATTATCACATTGGAAGTCCTATCTATAATATGAATGAGTATCAAATAGCAGTAAAACAGCTTTTGTGGCAGAGCAAAATTGCATCAATTTAATTTCTTGCTTTGTACTACAGCCACAAAGCCAGCACAAAACCCCAGTGAGGGAAAGAACAAACAAGACAGGGACAGAGCAACAGAACCAGGTCAGCTCTGTTGCTAACATATGATGGACTTGGATTAGGTCAAATTTGGTTTCTGATGTGCAGAATGAAAATCTCTAACTACAGTTATATGGTACAGCTTAAAAAAATGCCTTTATCTATAAATTCAGTGCAAATTAGATTTTCAGAGTAGAGCTCAGAGAAGACAGTTTGGTCTCTAACAAGCAGGTGCTAAGACAGTACAAGGTTTAGAGACAATGTACTGAAGCCCCTTCAGGGAGAGAATTGCACATAGACTGAACACATCATTTGCATACTAAGCATCAAAAGCATTTAAAACACTTAAATGTCCTAAACCTCTGCTCAAAAAGAAAAACAATTACAGTGGTGTTTTAGACAGTCTGTGCAACAGAATCTCACCCTGAATAACTGACATGGAGGGTTAGACATTTAGGAGGGGGAAAAAATAAAACCACAAACAAAAAAACAGGTAGTGTGACATCTCAGGCAACAAGAAAAAAGAAAAACATAAAGAAAGTTGACATTACTGATTCTTACCTGGGATTGTTTTTTAATGTATTTACTAAAAATTCATGAAGATCTATACCAGTGGAATCTGTATACTCCTGGCTGGAATCTAAGGATGAGGGGAAAGAGAGCAAAATTACACTCTGAAGAAGCTGTTTTCCAATTATTGCTGAACGTACTAGACATGAATCAATAATATATAACTATTAAGTACATTATTGCCAAAATTAAATACTTCCAGTTTCCAGGAAAAAGGCCCACAAGTCAAAAACAAAACACAAAACCCACCACCACCCACTATCCTCTAATTCAAGGGTAATAGAGAAGTAGAAGTTTCAGTAACACCCGTATTTACAATTGGCTGTATGTTGTGAAGCAGGTAATCACCTTGACAAACCTGATTTCCATCAGCCTGCCACATTTTCTCACTATCCCACACTGCAGTGTGTGTACACATTTGTGGAGCAGCAGCAGCCCATCTACTCAAGTACTGCATGTTGCCCAAAGAAATTTTGTAATTCAGAATCTAACAGTTTAACCTTCACAAGGTGGTGCTTTGCATTACTAAAAATCCTTTTTCTTGGATTTTGCTTGTACAACATCATGTTTAGATGTTTTCAAAAAGAAGTCACGACCCTCCCCTTCCCTTCCAGTTGCAGTGAAATAAAGTATTCAGTTACATATTATCCCCTAAAACCTGTCCCTGAAAGGGATGATTACTCCAAATCTTCCCTTACATGAGCACCTTTGGGTTCCAGGTATTTGTATTCAAACCAACAGGTGCTGGAACAGTATTTTTGGAACTAGATGTCTTCCAAGAACTGCTTATGTGTTAACCTAGTCTCTACTTAGTTAGGCATAACTCAGACTTATGCCCAGGTCCCAGCTCTTCCAGCTGCCCAGAGAGTTTAAGTGAAACCAAGCAAATCTGAGCATTGATGGTTTGGAATTACTTTTGATTCTGAAGAGAAGGCAAAAAGAAGGCTATCCCAGGTAAGAATTGCAAGATTCAATAATTATTTACTTCAATTTTTCTAATATGCAAGTGAGCAACGATTTAGTTATAATTACTAGAACTGATGCTAAAATTCCGTAGTTTTCTATTTTGGCACATCCTATATTGAGACATAATTAACCTTCAGAGGAGAGAGCGGTTGAATTCAGAACAGTCACCTCTGCCACAGGCATTTTGTCACTTTGCTCTCAACCCCCCATCATTACCTGTTGGGTGTTTGGGGGTAGTGTTTAAGGCATCATTTCAAAGACTGAGATTTAAAAATACAGGTTATGTTCTCCATGCCAGTGCTTTTTTTCTCACAAATACCTGACTGTCAGCTGGGACAAGCTGCACTGAAATTCCACATGAGGAATGCCTTATGGAATTGCAGGACATGAGATGGACAACTACCACTTGCCTCAAAAAGAATTCCAGCTCTAAAGGTACTTCCTATACTCTGTCTGATCTAAGATATCTAGGTAAACATTCTGGATATTTAAAGCAAGAGCTGTAAAATGATTTGGCAACTTAAATGTATAAAGTCTTCTACCTGTAGGAGGCATTAGGCATCAGGGACAAAAATTTGTTTATGTCATTGATTTCACAGCTCTCTTTCAGATTAAACCCCAAAGATTTTCAGCACATAGACTGTAACTTTAATCCAGAATGCAGGAATATTTAAGTGAAAACATAATACTTGTCCTTTTTATTTATGTAGATCTACCCTTACTCCAAAACTTTACTGAAATAATTCTAGATACTATGAAGAGTAAAATAAACAAAGGAGAACATTGATGCCTGTTGAATGAGGATCACAAAAAATATGAGGGGAGCTGTGCCACTCTCACTTCAGTTTCACAAGTCTGTAACAAAGCCCAGGAACAAGACAGGAACTTCCACTGACTTGTAAAGTCAGCTTAAAGAACACTTGGACACAACTGAGATAACACAGCTGTTTTTTCTACGCTGCTCTGCACAGTCAGATGGGAGACAAAGGAAAAGCATTTGCTGGAGTGTTTGATGAAGTCTCTAAAGCTCTCTTTCCTCAGGGACCAATTCCTTCTCCAGCTCAAAAGTGTCAAATCTATTTGCTTCGTTAGCAAAAAACAAAACAAAACAAAACAAAAACAAACAAAAAAACCCCCACAATATTTATGCAATGAAAATGAAGACCTGGAAGCAGAAGTGTATTTTCATATGTTCTTTATCTATACAGTATATTGAAAAGCACAAGGAGAGATTGCAAACCTCTTGATAACATTTTTCTGAACAGTTTATCACTGGATTTTTCCTTTTCTGATTCATCTTTTGCAGGTTTTTCTTCTTTTTCAAAAGACTGTGACAACTGGATCTGAATTTTCTCCTGTCAAAAAGTAAAAATTAGTCACCACACAAATTATTTCAAATAATACCTGCAGGAGAACTGTTCTGTACTATACTACCTGGAAAAAAATGAAGAAGCAACAAAAAAAATTATTCACATATTCTTTCTGATTCCACATGTGCTCTGTGTGACCACACAACGAAATTATTTATCAGTAAATCAGAAAGTACAGAGAAGGCATAGAAAGGACCACAGACATTCTAGAATTTACACACACTTCCAGGCCCTGAATGCTATTTGCAAAATGAATTCAAAGTGTCTTACTCCATACATGTAAGAAAATATTTCAGTTTTTCAGATGTATAAATTTCATACTGTCTATATTTTTAAGTCATGTATCATCCACAATGCTTTTTTTCTCCCCATTCTTCACAGTTCTTCACTGTAAAAGCTTGTTTCAAGTTTTGATTTGATTCAAACCAAGAAAAAAACAAAACAAAACAATAATTTCTATCTAAGACAGACCAGCATATCCAGATCCACAAAAAAGGGGAAATATTTACAGTAGAATATAGCAAGACAAAGTTTGCAGACCTGTCATCAAGGCTTAGTTTCATAACTTCCTGTGTATTTTGATAGAGTAGCTTTGTGTGCAATCACCTCAAAATCCATGGTTTTATACTAGTAGGTGAACTGTTATAAAACCTACTTCTCAAATACAGCAAAAAGTTTCCCTCTGAAATTAGTAGCATCATGGTTCCCTGGAAATACCCCAACCAGTGCAAGAGTGCAGTTTGTTTTTCATGGCCCTTTATTGTTTCAGGAGGTTGTCAGTGGAGGAACAACACATTTCAGACAGCCAGAGCCGAGGAGTTTGGGAGCAGTGGCCAACTCCTGTCAGAGCCAGAGCCCCCTGTCATCTTTTAACTCCCCCAAATGTCAGTTCTGCTCCCCCAGGTACCAACTGAGTCCATGCTGTCACCTCCACATTCCTGAAACATCCAATCCTTCCCAATCCAGACACCTGCCCCTCATGCACTCTTGCCTATCCCTCTTTGGTCCTGCACCTTAATCCTTTCCCACACAAGTCCTCACTCCTCCCTCCAACCCGTTCTTACCCATATCCAGGCTCTTGCTCTAAGGTCTGCTCTTGTGTCATTGCACAGGCTTGATCTCACCCGTGGAACACAGCCAGAGCTAAATTTAGCCAGGATCCACTAGGCTGGAGCCTGTTCACGTGCCCAGCCCGCAGCCACTCCTGCCTGTGCCGGCACAGTGGGAGCCCTGCGCCACCCAGGCTTTGCTCCAACAGGAGTTCCCATCTGCAGCTTTGGGGCAACAACTTTTTCAAATGAGGGAAAAATGGTCACTGAGAGTTTTACAAGCTCTCCCTTTCATTATTTTCCCCACACTAAATGTTCCAGTTAAACTTCCTAATTCATGAACACCCACTGAACAGCACCTCAGTGTCAATGAAGACTTCTCAGCTTTGGACAGGATCTATAACCACATCTGATAAAAAACATCCCCAGTCACCAGCAAGGAACTAATCTGATTCTTTCCTAGTCTTGAGAATTCTCTTGGCTACAAACCTTGAAGAGTTCAGAGCAAATCTTTGCATTCCTTGCCTCATAAACCTGTGTGTAATTCAAATGAGCAATTTATTTGTCACTACAAAATGCACTAGACTCACCATTCACCAAGTATCTGTGTAATCTTTATTTGAAATGTTTCTGTCCTATTAAAAAATTATTGATTTGGATTCACCAATGTGTTATCTCCTCCATGTTACAATAACAGTCTACAAAACTATCAGTAAATAAAGGATATTTTCATAGTCTGATGTTTCTTCACTGGAAAAGTGACTCCAACTTCTAAACTCATTCCAAGTAATGTATACAGCAATAGTTTAGTCAAAGGATCTCAGCAAGTAATCATTTTCATACTTCCTTCCCCAACAAGAGCTAAAAAAAGGAATCACCATCTGAACAGCCAGTTCTGCTACTACCACCAGTTCTACATCAAAGTGTGATACACCAGAACTGGGTACCAAAGGGCACTCTCTTGTGATTTCATGCTATAAAAACTGTAGCATCTAATTAAATATGACCTACTTGACTGGAAAGCTGCCGAAAAATCTTTTCTCTTCCCCTTTAAAACTCTCTTAATCCCACCCTGTTTGCAGCAGGTCTCTGCTGGCATTTGGACTGAACAGACTCCTCGCCCTAACTCATCCCAAGCCCTCACTGTAGAAGAGGAAATTGTTTCCAAATTTTGATTAAACAAGAAAAAGCCAAACCAACACGAAAAAGCCCCAAACCATCAAAATTTGATAAATCCTGCCATTTTAACACATTTGAGAAAAAGGTAAGATTACTCGGAGGCCTACATACTTTTTACCGGAAAAACCAACATAAGTCAATCGAAATTAACATTACAGCTCCATGCCTGCTCCTCCCACTCCCTCTCCATAGGGTTATTTTACTTTGCTTAGAAAGTTCAACCTTTTGAAGGTTTATTTACTTGTTACTCATAATAACAACTGTCATTTACATGAAAACAGCTCTTCCTTAAAAAGGGCTGAACTGGACCACCCTTTGCTAGTGCTTGTACTTTTTATTGGAACATAGAGTCAGAACAACCTGATGTTTACACAAATGATGGCAAGAGAATATAGTGTTACAAAGATAAAAGATCAAACATATCACAGTTATGTTCTTCCTCTCACAATAAATTTGTAAGCTCATACTTTCACAGCACCTTTTAGTAAAGGGCTGTCAGTGCTTTTTAACAAGGATTAAAAATATGCAAAGCTCTTCTCTAGGTTTCTCAGGAAGAAGTATCTTGCTTCATGTGGCAGTTGAAAATAGAAACATAGATCAGAAAAGAAACTGATCTGCTTGAGACAATTTCTTTGGTCTGTCGTCCTCTTCCATCACAGCCTTCTGAGGAGAAGCAGACAGTGGTGCCTTGCTAAATGCCTCCTGCACCATCCTGTGTCAGGAATTTCACCCTGCTGGAGCTCCTGGTGTGAGCTGGTGACTGATGAACAGTCACAGACAAGAAAGACCATGGAGTTATTCCCAAACTCTCACCACTCCCTAGTTAAGCACATGTATTTTTCATCCCATCAAGGCTAAGACTTTCTAATAACTGAAAATTGTGATTCTTCATATATCACCAGCAACATTATCCTGAATTTAATTCATCCTGGATCTTAAAATCAATAGTAAGTATTAACGCTAAACTGGAAGCCACTTTTCAGTTGCAGTCACAGATACAATGCAGCAGTGACTCTTCCAGGAAGGGGAAGCATCACAGGTGATTCTCCTGCTGCCAGAGATGCCCATGCAAAGCAGGCTCTTCCTTCTCTGAGCCACTGGACCTCCCACACATCCCAAGCACAATTAATTCTTCAGAGTATGGGGCTGGCATATTAGTCCCAACTGCAGCAGCTGACTGGTACTTATGAAGAGCTCTTCCATGCTTTCCCAAAGATAGTTTGGGAAAGGAAACAAAATGGGTGAAGAAATTGCCTGTGTGAGTTGTTACAGAGGGTCATGGGAAACCTGTACCCCACAGGATGTGCACTCCAGCATCAGAACTTGAAACATTCCCCCTTCTAACTCTCCAACACATTTCTCCACCCTCCAGGGAAGAACTAAATTTGTTCCTGCAATCATTTCTCCGCACAGCTATTGGGATTCATAAGCCATTTCCTTCTACATTACTGCTTCCAAAGAAAACTCACGGCTAGCTCTGATTTTGTTCTTAAGGCAATCTGCTTTCTGGTATTTCTTTTGTACAAACTTACATTATCACACAATTCAACTCATTCTGCAGATCCAGCCTTGACATCCCTCCTGCTGCTGCAAGGATTCCTTTCAAGAGCCACCTGGCAGCACAGAGCTAGGTTTTCCCGGAGGACCTGGCCAAACACCACCTTATAAATGCCTGACTTCAAACCATTCAACGTATGGTCTTGTGTAGTGTTGGAGGCAGGAAAATCTTAATGCCTTTTATGTTGGAAATATACCATGGACAATCAGTCCACCAAATAAGACCTCTGTCTTGTAATTTGTCACAGTGACTGAGAAAGTTAAACCCCACTTCTTCAAACTGAACAACTAAGCCTGACCAGATCTCTCAGTCTATTTTGTTATCTTATGGGAAACATTACAAAAGGACTGTAAATCATTGTAAACATCAATAGCTCTTCTGTTGGCTTTTTATCTTTCACTCTGCAACCTATTTCAAACTATGACTTAGATTTTCATCATGGTAGCAGGCCCAGTTTCTGAATTGCCCTAGTCAACACTTCAAATTCTGGTATTTTAGTGAAAGCCTATTCTAGGCTTTAAAATACTATTTTCTTATTTTTCAAAAGGAACAACCCCCCACCCCCTGCAACCTAGGTACTGTTTCAATCTCAAAAAATTTGAATTAGCTTGACAAAAACCTACATGAGCTCTCAATGTCCATCTTTCCTCAGAACTGAATTACCACCTCCCCAGCAAAACCCCCTCACACCCCGCTTTCTACTGCCTCCTTCTTAACCAAAGTGAGACTTTTCACAAAAGCAGTTTAGAAGCTTTTCAATAACAGCAAAGGCCCATTTCTGTTTTGATAGGCATGAACAAAGCCAGCATTTTGATGGCCCTCACTCATGCACAGAACTAAAGCCAGCAGTAAGGTTTTGCTCTGAAAAGACAGACTGGCATGGAGGTAAAGTCAGGAAACTTGGATTTCGTTTAAATTTTCTAGCGTAATTTTACATATTTTGTTCAGCATGTAGGAACCTCTATAAGAGTGTTCTATAATTTTAATAGATTAATTCAAACATACCTCAGGCAGGTATTACAGAGCTACCAGCAATTGGGACTAATATGCAGGAATTCAGTTACAACACCACAAATCACAATTGTTTCCATTTTCAAACTCTACAAAGTCAGTAAATTAGGTTCCATACAAATCACAATGTTGTCTTACTAACTGCAGACAGCACTTAAGCAGTTCAAGAATCCCTCAAGTGCACTGTTGGACTAAAGTTAAGAGAATTGACAAACCCCCTCTTTTTGTCCACAGGTATCAACTAGTACAGTTCAGAAAAACAAAGCAGCAAATTCTGCACCTGATATTATCACCTCTATTAGATCAGCATTAATAAAAAAAAAAAATTAAAAAAAATTAAAACCACATGGTGTCCACATATTTAAATAATACCCAACAGATTTTCTTTTGAACAATAAGTTACTTGAAACTGTTCCAGAAACTTCAGTAAGGTGATTTTACCTGGAGGTCCTGTGATATTTCAGCTGTGGGAGGTGGTGGATATTCTTCACATACAGCAAGGCTCCGAACTAACTTTAACTTTGTGTTTGACTAAAGGAAAGTATGTAAAATTAAAATCTATGGCTTATAAAAGATAATATAAATATACCATAAGCCGTTATTTTTTTTTCATTCATTATATGAAAAACAAAATGGCTGAAAACTGCATTTTTAATGTTTTCAATAGAATAAATAGTTCCCTTTAGGATGAAAATACCCAAGCAATTGCAGCTTTTGAAGGCACTACCAGCACAACAGAGCACATCTAAAGAAAAATAAATGAAATGTTGGGAAAGTGTTTCTCTCTGTAACAATAAAAAGCCACCAAAAATATAAAGGCAAATCACAAAAGCAGACAACTAGGCAAGACAAAAATCCAACAGAATAAAACAAAGCTACAATGCCAAAAAATAAAACTAAAGGCACTTTCCACAAAGTAACGAAGCTGCACCAAGCATGAAGGGCTCCCTTCGCATGCCAGCACACCGGGCTACCGTACCTTGGACCTTTTGGCCGTCTGTCCAAAGGACTGCGCTGGCCGCTGGCGACAGGCACAACAGAGAAGGGTTACATTAACTCAGTGGCACAAGTTTGTTAATGCAAAAGTCTGTACAAGAGAAAGCTTTGACAGTTAGCACTGACACGGGCAGATCTGTGAAAGGAACAGCAGGTTCTTTGGGCTGACAGATTTGGCGCTCTCCCACTTTCATCAGGTTTGTCCTTGATTTCCCTTCTTCATTTATCAACAATATATATCAGAGCACTTTTACAGGAACCAAGTATTATCCTTGCTCTGTAACATCCAAGCACTTTACTCTCTCAGCCAGCTCCTACACTTTCAATTCCTACACTTTCAATTCTTGTTTCCTAATTTCCTTGGCAACATGACATGGTTTTTATAAATTTTCTTCCTATTCCTGAAACCTGCCTGGAAAAATAGTATTTAAAATAGGAAAGCATTGCCTCTACCAAGGGAACAGATAACAGATGATGACCAATCATAAGCAGCTTAAAACATATGGGGTTTTTTGCTTTCATCTTGGGACCTGTACAAGTATATTTCAAAATGGGCTACTGATCTTTTTTTTTTAAATTTCATTTAATAATTTACTATAAATGAATATGTTTTTTCTCCTCTCAGAGCCATTTTAGTAACTTATTATGCAACAATTCGCTTTTTCCTCCCAAAGCCCTTCTTCTATTACAATTGTTCCTTAAAAAAAATTACCAGGCTTTTACTACAGTATGCAGAGCTGAGAGGTACATTTGAATCAATAAAAGCATTTAATGATTTGTTAACTGCATAGTTAAAACTAACTCGACCCTCAGTGCCAGTCGCACAAGAATAGAAACATTTCTGCTGGAGTGGCATCACATAATTTAAGTACTGGTTTCCCTGGAGAACTAAAACTGATGAATAGACAAGCTTTTAACAGAATTTGTTTTAGTGAGCACAGGGCTAATATTTGTAAGGAGAAATTAACATCAGTGATGCAATTTTGAATGTTGTTTAATGGACAAATTTCCTCTTTAAAAAGGAAACTGAACAGAAACTCCACTGGAAAACTCCATGAATGCAGCTCTCTTTGCCTTAGCTCACAAGAGATGTCTATCAAGTGCCTGAACTTCTTAGCAGGACATACAACATCACTAGAAAGAAACCTCACCTACAGTAAAGAGCTCTATGATGTAAAGGCAGAACTGCTTTTTCTCTCATTTTCCTCAAGTTCCACATGTCTATATTGGATGTTGCACCAGCTTAGCTGAGGAGCAGCAGAAGGAGAGCTCATTTAAGCTCGTTTCACTGTGTAACAGAATTTTAAATAGCTGCACTGAAAACTAACTGAACTCACCACCAGCTTTTTTAATGAAGCTTGCTGAGACTTTGAGCAGCAAAGACAGTTCAAATGCTTCCATTCCTGGAACCATTCAGACTCTGAGTTTTGCTGTTTCCATACCTGGAACCACACAGAGACTTTGAGTTCTTCTATTACGTGCAAAATATGTTTTCCTTTCCATCATCTCCTCTGAAAGCATTCCTTGCATTCTGAAAGCTGGCACTGCATATCCCTGACAAAGTTTCTGTTACACCAAGCTACTAAATTTCAAAAACTGGATGATTTCCCAAGCTCCTATCAATTACTCCAGCCTCAATCAGCCTAGGCGTGTTCAAATAAAGTAGGGCAAAGTCACATCAGGACTGTCCGTGGAGTCCTCAGTTCACTTTTAAGAGGCAAAAGAGCCTATACTTGGGCAATTGTTTATTTTTTGCAAAATTTTCCAAGCTTTAAAGCCAGTACATAAGGCAAAAGAATATATGGAAGCAAACACCCCAGATCCAGATTTGACAGGGCACAAGAGGGAATTCAACCCAGGACATCAAGCTACTGCTCTCACTAATTAGATAAGTCACACATATTTCAGTTATTTTTAAGATTGATTTGAAAAAAAAAGAGAGGAAATGGTTGCTGACACTAAACACCAATAATATTGGGGAGAACTGGGGGACCACTGAAAGAGGAAATTTTTTCCCTCACAGATGAGACAAGTATAACTCCACCCATCATATTCCAACTTTTCATGTCCAACACTCTGTGATAGGTATGGATTCCTGGCTTTCATGTGTGATTTTAAGGATGTCAAAACACAAAACCCCAGTCCTCAAGACCCAACTGTGACTGTGAGCAGGAAACACCACACACATTAGGCGAGAAGCACTGGAATAAAGCTGGGAGGGCTGGACTGCAGGGACAGCTCAGGTAAAAGCATAGCCTGATGGTGCAAGGTCTGGCTTGGAGGTATAAACCCCAAAGTCCTCTGACACCACCACCAGCAACTGCACTCTCAGAGCTTGGAGCTGGGTGGGTACAATCCAGTGATTCCTTTCTTGGACAAAAACCAGACTGACAGAGGATGACACCACTTCCACTGGAATTCCAGGACAGTAGGTAGCCAATGCACATTGTAGCTGTTAATGCACATTTTCTCTCTTTTCAGGCCCATTAATTTTATATCTATCCTCATTTCTCTGCATTTACTAAGTTTTACTCCTACAGAACATCTTTATGTTCCCCATTTGTGAAAAAAAATTTCTAGCTAATTTAGAATATGCAATCCTTGGTGAGTGCAAATTAGGCAATTTCTTTATATTTGCAGCTCACAAAGACTTTTACTGCCTTAAGAAAACACTGTGTTAATGAAAGCCCTATTTATAGTCATTATGGGCAGGATTTCAAGACAGCATTTAAAAGCAAGTATTCCAAATAATTGCATAATGAAAATAATGATTAGGTTCTTGCCTTTGATAAAACCCCACCAACACAACTTTTAAGACCAACTACTATGCTACATTTCCAACTGCAAAATAAAAAGGGAAGTAAGATAGCATTTCTCAAAAACATATAAATAACCAGGTTTTCAGTAGGAGTATTTGCCTACTTTATTTTTTCCTAAGTACCTCACCAGATCACATATACTAAATGCAAAGTAAAGATCTGGAGCTGTTACATGCCTTCCTCTATCATCAGTGTGCTGTCTAAATAAGCTGGATAAAAACAGGTCAGGCACAAGATGGCAAACTCAGACGTGTGAAAGGTTTTGTGAGAAGGGGCTCTATTTCTGAAGTACCATTTGGGCATTTCTGAGGATAGGCACAACATGACAAACCTGAACAAAGAGTGTTCTAAGGACATTCAGTTTTTTACCTTTCTGCAAAATTAGGTCTCAATTTTAAATCCAGTCAAGTGCTGCAGTCCCAAGAACCATGGATAGCTTTGTAATGGTGAGGGAAAGAATACTATGGTCCATGGTTACTTGCTGTCTTGCATTAGTGACCAGTGACAGCAATTTTCCATGACAAAGTAGAGGATGACTGATGGAAAAATAGTTTCATCCTTGGATAGGAGGCAGCTCAAGAATATGAGTATCTGCTCAATCATTTATCTATTCAAAAGTATTACATCATATATTTTGGAGACAATGACAGGTAAATCCTGACAAGACCAAAACAGCACGGGAGGAGGCGAAGAAAGGCCTCAGACAACTTCAGCTGTGAAACAGAGAGAGAAGCTCAAGGTTTGTGCTAGTATGGAAGGAAGATACTCGTAGGAAGAGAGATGTCAAGTTGCTAAGTAAAAAAAATTATCTAATTGCCCCAAAGGACAAGGATATCTGCTTGAAAAAAAAGTCAGAATTATACTCAACACAACATTTGCCATGCCCTTATCGTACAGGAGATGTATACAACCCTGCACTCATGCCATGCGGCTTTTTTGGGTTTTAAAAAAGAAGTCTTCTTAATAATAAACATAAGGACTACCTTGCAGAATAAATCCAGGATCTTTAATTTGTTGTCAGTATTTCCTGCAGCTTTGTCCTTACAGTGGATGATGTCACTTGTCTCACCAACCAGAGACAGAGGCAACACAGACCCTGGATTCCAGCTAATTCTGAATTAATTTGTTGTCACCTGGCCTGGATAAGATGAACAGGTGGGAGATAACAGTGACTGATAAAAACCCTTTTGATCACAAAACCCACCACAATGCTGACATGCACATGACTTCTGTGAAAGTACTTTTCATAACAGTGTCTCTTGTCCCCAGCGTCATTTAAATGACACTTGAAACTCGCTGCAAATATACCAAGTTAGAAATGCTCTCTGTATCAATAACACTACTTCTGCACTGCTTAAATAAATTGGGAGCACTGGCCATGGACTCTAATTAGGTATTTTCCTCATTCACATTGTGCCTCCAACAGCAGACACAGCAGCCAATCAGTTATTAATGCACAACCTCCAAATAAGCTGGAATTTACAACCACAGTTACAATTCAAAACGTAACTATCAGTTTCTGAACTGTGCAATTCCAGAAACATGCCTGAATTCAACTCATGTCAAGTTTAGACCTGGAAAAATCACAGCCCGTTTCTTCCTTGGCTCTAAAGAAGCCAAAAATTAAGTGATAACTCTACTGAGGAATGTGATTGTAGTTTGTCAGTAGGTACCAAACCTATTCTGCCACCAGGGAGAAGAGCTAAGCCCAAACCCCATGCAACCCCCACGCCCAACCCATCCTTCTGATGCACTCAGTAAACAGAAGTACACAAAAAAATTCCAGTAAGTTTCTGATAATATTTTCTAACATTTTCCAGCATAATCTTTGCTCTTTTTCCCACCACCACAGTAACATTCAACCTGCACTTAATGACAAGTACTACGTCCACTGAAATTTCATCAAACTGTTTTAACCATCCATTAGTTAAAAGCTTGCTGACTGCTACTGTTCCACAAGGGTTTTCTACTATGGACCATCCCAAATTTTTGTTTTGTATTTTAGCATAAAACATGCTTTAAATGAGGAAATCCTCAAATATGAGACATATATTTGCACTGGCAGCCTCCACAGTACAAGTGACATTAACTTCTGCTGATTTCAGTTGTTGCAAGGGGCTTGCTCACAGCAACCAGGCTCCATTTGGTAACTGTCTTCCTGCCACTCTGGAAATCTGCATCCTCAGCTTTTAATTAAACTGCTCATGTAACAGCAATGTTCTGATTCTGATGGAGACTCCTGGACACCACACTAAATGCACGGACAGCAGAGCTGTTTTTATTCAACAGCCTTCACCACACAGTGTCCAGTTCATTTTGTGGCTGTGGGATAATCACTTCAAACATCAGCTCTTGCTCCTGAACAAGCACCCACCCAATGAAGCCCCTGTCACCCCAGAGCCTCTGGCAGCACCAGCAGGTTCATTCCTCTGCACTTTGACGAGACAGCAGCAGTTGTTTGCAGGAAGGCTTATTTCTTATTTGCCATTTGAGTCTCACAGAAATTTCCACACTAAAATTTGTTCAATGAGAAAATGTGAATGAGATTTTTCCAAATTGAACTGTACAAAAATAACTAAACCGTAGATTAATTTTTAAAGCTCACTACTAGAATATTCCATTAATTAAAGAAAATACCAACTCAGCTATAATATCTCCCAGCTTTTCAATAGCATGTTACAGGAGAAGTATTTCATTTCAAAGATTTATTTTTTCCATAAAATTATCTATTTACACTGATGCCAGCCTTAATAAAGCCAGCAGATATTAAAGTGTAAAGCTATTGTTATTGCTGTGGTCTACATGATTTATCTGGAAGCAATTTAACACAGCAGATAAAGCTTACTTCACTCACTGGAATATTGAATTGTTAGTCTTGAACAAAACTACTCCCCAAAGAACCTTTTACTCAAATCTCAATAATAAGAATCTAATAAGCTACCGTCCTGTTTTTGCAACCCACAAGAGATCCCTCAGATCCCTATCAGGATTTCTATAAAAAGTTGTTTAGTATTAACCCACGGACACAAAATTCCTATAGACAAGTATAGCTTTTGCCAAACACAAACTTCTATGTTTCCTTTTACAAACCTGGCCTGTTTTGTAGGTTGTGTCAGAAATTTTCAGTTGCTTTCCTGAACTCCTCCCCTCATGTGAGCTTCTTAGAGTCCTCAGTGATCAGGTGGGCAGCCTCAGCCAGGAGTGAGCTCTCTTGTTCCACACCTAAATCCCAGAAGTATTAAATCTGCTGCCACAAATTCCTAGCCCTTTCTTATCAGTGTGTTTTCCATTTTCACACTATTTGCTCTGCCTCCTTCTCACTTGAACTGTGATGCCACGACTTCCTTACAGGTACTTCACTTCTCCCACCTGCAAAAGCCACCTATGCTTTTCAGTGTGTGCATGAGGAACTTCCTCAGCTTTCCAACCTAGAAGTAAGTCACCTACCAAACCTGTCAAGCAGTGAAGATCAGAGAAGGGAAGGTGCAGGGAGTATCTGCTGCCCACCAAGGCAGGATGATGCTCCCCAGCTCATTCTGAAGGTGGCTGGGGCAGCATTCAGACCTGCTGACCTCAGGAGATCTGGATCCCTCAGGCTCCTGGGGATCTGGATTACTTCAGCCTTATGCTGAACAGCTCTGCTGGAAAATCTACACCTGAGCCACCTGTAAAGTGCAACAGCTCAAGAGCCCTGGGCTGGCCACCCCTGCCCAGGGCAGACAGGCCTGGCTGAGCTGCAGCACCTTGTTCAAAGCAGCAACACAGCATACACAGCCCAGCTCCAAACTCTGTGAGGATTCAGCAGCAGCAAATGCCAGCTTGGGTTTGTTCCTTGTTCTGCTACAATGAAAGACTTCACATATGCACTCAAGGAAACACAAACATGGGCAAATTTTCTTTTTCCCAGCAAAACTACTCATCTCCTTCAAAGAATTAAAAATGACTGAGTCATATTTACACAAGTATGAACAGAGAAGTGGGGAAAAGGAGGAGAGAGGAAGTAATAATCATCATATCTGCTTCCCTAAAACCAGCCAAGTTTTCCTCACTGTGCCAAAGAAACATATACAAGAGAATGGAGAACGAGACACAGACTTATGATAGACATATCATAGACATGATATACTAGCGAAAAATAAAGTGAAAAGCTTCTTACCGGCATATTGTTTTTGTTATCAGGACAATTTTCATCCTTTTCCACTTGAATCTGTTCCTGACTTCCTGATTTTTTTAGGTTTTCAACTGGGTCTGTATCTTTAAATTCAGCTTCTGAACCCTTCATTGCATCAGTTTCATCTTTTACAGTAAGAATATCAGACATCCTCATTAGAAAAGGTTACTTTAAAATTCTACAAGAAATATGGAACCTTAAGGACAAAGAAAAAGTTAATTATTGAGTAATTTAAAATTAATTAAAAAGCCACCCATACCTAAACAGCTACTCAAAACAAATGTGATTTTGCTGCAAAAAACATTCCCCCTCTGCAATGACACTTTTTCCTCTCTTGTATTAGGAGCGATTTCTTTTTAACCACTTTTATCAGTGGCCTGTAACAGCAGACATCTACACAAACAAGAATTAAGAGCTACACTCTTGGATAACATTCACAGATTTTTCCCTTCCACATTTTAAAAATAAACACCTGAACATTCAGATACTCTAAATCAAACTAGGCTCCAACAGAAACAAGGCAAGATTTTCTCAAAGGAAAAGAAAATTACATATAGATTTATTTTAAAAGGGTTCAAAGTAAGTAGATGAATCATAATGCTCCAAGTGTGCAAACATTCATAAATTTCATGAACTTTTTAAGTCTCCTCATTGACAGGTAATAAATGGACAAGTTCTGTATACAGGAATTATCTTACCTACAAACTGTAGCAAAACTAGAATTAATAAAATTACAGATTCTCTCAAAAGCAACAAAGAAGAATGAAAGGAACGATTTGTTAATTAGGATAATAACCAAGATCAGCAATTATATAATTTATAACAATAATTTAAAATACTATAGAAAGATAACTAATGATTAAACCCCAAATTTTCCATAGGAAATAAGAAACACAGCTCCATTACTCAGTGCAAGATGTAAAACCAAGGATTTTCCATTTCCTACAAGAAATAAAGAGTAAGATCTGAATGTCTAAACTCCTTCATGAGAACCAAATAACAAGCCAATAATGTTATGGAAAAGCTTAGTGTTTGATTTAGTACCTGATACGTCCTAGAGTTTGGGGACTGCGGTCTCCCACAAAAATAAAATAGAATAATCCGAAGATCTTTTTCACAGTTGTCAGCCAAGATGTCAGTTGTGATGAACCATCTGGAATCTGGCAGGAGTCCCATGTCCTTATCCCCAGTGTAGAGTCCTGGACAGAACTATTTGGTCTTGAATCAGCAAGAACATCCCTTTTGAATGCCTGAAAATCAATAGAGGAAATGCATTATACTTTTATTTGCTGTGAGAGGGGAGATGGATCATAATGACACCTAAAAGTTTAAATAGCCATTTTTGAAAAAAAAAAGAAAGGAAGAAAGGAAGAAGAAATCAGCATTTGTCATATCCATCCTGCTTGCTCTATCTAGCAGCAGTAACATTTAATTGGACATCCAAGACATTTCTGCATTACAGAGTTAACAAGTAGTCACAATAAACATTTTCTTGGCATTCCTGAAACTGTTTCCATAAACAAGCAGGTATCTTCCCAAAGAGTCTGAAATACACAGCCCAGTAGGTGTGGAGGAGTAACAGGCCATTAAAGCTCACAAATCCCTGTCAGCAGAACAGAGTTTTTCTCTTTGTTGGAGTTAATAATCTACATATATGTAACACACTCCATAAGCTGCATTTTGGGCAACTGGAATTACAGAAGACAGCTTTACTTTATTCAAGAAAATAATTGCCCTGGAATGAGGATTTACACATTTTTGCAAAACTGATGATTTTCCATCTTCCCTGTTTTTCAGATTTGAGAAATAAGTAACAGCACCAGCCCCAAGGAAGCATTTGAAGTCCAGGCACACGGTTTGGTAAGAGATGAGGTACTTGCAGACATCTGGAGTACAGAAATTTGCTGCAAAGCATGGAAAAGAAAGATAAAAGATGAGCTGTGATTCAGGCCTGTAAGAGATCCTATTTACTGAATCTAATGGAGGGGAAAGGATTACAGATGAAAGAACAAACTGGAAATAAAAAGATGCAAAAATGCAACAAAGGATATTCAGGACTGATTGGTTGTTGAGGTGTTTTTTCCTGACAATCCAGATGCTGATATAAAATTTATTAAGAGGCTCAGAACCTTATAGTAAACAAGACTTGAATAGAGGTGCTGTTTCACTTTGTTGACTGACATGTGATTTGTACAGTATTTAGATAAATGTTAAAAAAACATTACAGGCTGAAGACAGCAACAAATAAAAATCCAAAACTTTTATGTTCAGTTGCAAATATAATACTGCAAAGTAAGTGTAATTTAATTACTACTCCCTACACAAATCACACACATAGTAATGAAAATCAACATCTTCAAGTTTTTCTTTAATTCTATCAAATACACTAAGAGCTCCTGTCCCTTTGCATCATTTTAAAAACACGTATCAGCACACTCAGATACCAAAACACATTCTGCAAATATCCTTGTGCTTGCCTAGGTCAGTCCAGGAAATTGATGCACAAGAAAAGTCTTTATATTTCCTATGACAAACTAAGTGCAACATAGTTTATAACTTGCTCTGAACAGATTTTTCCCTGCAGATAGGTTTAAAGCCTGCAGATTTGGTGCTATGTATCCTACAGTCAAAGAGACAGAACTGAGGAAAAGCTGTGGAGTTCCAATTCACACGAAAAAATATCTCAATTTTGGGTTCACAGAATGGAGCTATTTTGAGTCAACTGGAATCTCCATATGTGCATCTATGAGTAAATGCCAAACCCTGTGCTTCACACTAGCAGCAAAACACAGAGAATAGAAAGATGAATCTTTGCTTACCTGATTATTTTTTAATAATACCAGCCATAGATTCATTGAGATGGTAATGCAACCTCCTGTTTGTGATCCACAACTGTGAGTTCAAGTACTTGGATAACATTCCATCCCTGAGGTTTGCTCTAATTCAGCAAATTTTCATAGCTGAGATAATCTAGTTCTATTTTCTAAACTTCCACAGACTGGATTAAAAAAAGATTGAAGGAATTGTATGTGCTGCAGACAGAGTGGGAGAGCAAATCACAGCCCATCCTTTAACCTCCCCATACAGCTGAATGTTAATTTCTTGTGTCCTATATAGGACAGGTAAAAGGAGAAAAAAAAGCAGGAAGGCAGTCCTTAGGAGCTGCTCTGTTATTTGGGGAGAAAATAGGGTCTGGTAAGCAAACAGATTAACTGAAACAAAATCCCAGCACTGGCTTTAGACTGGATTGCAATACAGACCAACACAGTATTTGCAGATTTTAATAGGAGGAACACAAATGAGGTTCTGCCCCAAAATTATAAGAACAGTTGAAAGGACTGAATATTAGAGGTAGAGCATTACCTGGGTTTTCAACTAAAAGCTCAAACAGCTCACAACACATCCCATGAAAGAAAACCTACCAATTCTAATATCTTTTATAGGTGTCAATAATGGACACCTACCTTAGCAGACATAAGTAAAAGGACTTGCATCTAAGAGTGGAGGATAAAATATCATACCTTTGTTCCTCACCCTCAGGACTGCTGTCCCCATCTAAATACTCAGTACCAAAATGAACATTCTTTTCATCAGAATAGCAACATTATACCCCAATAATCATCCTGAAGTCTGGTAATCCTCTTTCTGGCAAGTGGTCACCACTTTGTCTATGCAACTACTCTCCCTTTTCAGAGGGAATAGTGTTATTATCAGCTCTGGGATGGATGTCCAGTACTGCACACACATGAGCTCTGCAGTCAGCAGATCAGAAAATGGTCTGTGCTGTGCTCTTACTGCTTTCTTTTGCATAGCCTAGAGAATAAGTCATAAAAAACCCCAATAGATCAAGCAAAGTCATTCCTGAGTTTTATGATGGCAGCCTCCTGAATCTTGATACATGAAAAACCACTGGGTCCCTCATTTTGGGTTCTGACTTAAAAATTATCATATGTACACCCACTAAATTAACTTGTAATGAGCAGAGATATTTCTGGGAATAGGATCTACACAATCCAATTTCTCTAAGAGGGATCAAGAGTTCCAGCTTTTCTTCTTCTTGGCAGCGTAGATGGAGATAGGAAGCTCTGCACTGCCCATGACAGAAAAAATCCATTCTTTTACCTTCTTTTTAAAAGACAGAAAATTATTTTTTTTCTTTAATTATTGATATCATTGTAGTCAAAAGACCCCAGGAATGGCCATCAAAATAATTTGTATCAATAAAATTCAGGGCAGAAAACTGGATTAAAAGGGTGGGGGTGAAAAAAAAAAATCTACATTCAACATGCAAACTGGACACATTGTCCATGGAAAAGTAACGTGAAAATTTATTTCTTAAACAAGCTTCTGTTGACTTATAAATCCACAGAATTCCTGCAACCAACAAACACTGGCCTCTTCCCACAACTTCCTCCACAGCTCAAGTGGAAGAACTCATGGATGAATTCTATGAAGTCTGTGGGAAAAGCTTTGCCTTACTCCTGACACAACAGTGGTACAAACCTTTCTTGGATGTTGAACTGCTTAATTTTTTTTTGAGAAAAGTCAAGGCCTTTCCTAGGAAAACAGATCTTTGAAGATTCATATAAGAGACCTGCACAACAGGAGTTTTTCCAGCTGTTTTTCACGTCAATTATATAAACAAAACTACATTAACATCAGGGTTCCTGTGACTAGAATTCTCTCCACCAACTGAAAACATTCGAAGTTACATGCTTCTTTGTTGGGATGAAAGAGGAAAATGTCTATACCTTAAGCAGAAAGGTAATCAATCAAAATTATGTTAATAAAAATGATTGGTCTAAGTTAAAGAATTGCTGCATCCAGCTACTGCTTAATCTCTGTGGACCTCTACCTACACAAAGCTCTTGGTAACAATTAATTTTGGCCAGTCAGACCAATGCCTCAGACACCCAAATCAAGGGAGAACTCATAAAGGGGAGCGCCTGCTTCTCCTTCTGCTCCCTACAGCCTCTGCCCCATGGTCCTCAGGTGTGCCCCACCTCCACCTTTCCACCAGTTCTGGCGTTTGCCAAACTTTTCCAAGGTGTGATTCCTTGAGAAGTGACCCAGAACCATGAAGCTCTTTGGCTAGGTCAGGTTCTGCAGGGCTGACAAGCTATGGGGGTGCACAGGACATTTATGGGAGCCCTCGGCAGCAGGAACAAAGCCCCAGGAGGAACAGCAGCAGCTGTACAGCTCTTTCTGCATGGAGGGGTGACTTTCAGCTCTGCCCCAGTAGCTCCAGTATGGGCATTTCAACAGCTCCAGCCCAACCCAAATAAAACAACCAGAAGGTGCAGATTAATGTTATTATCTAGTAACTGAGAGCCTGTAGATGAATCCTGAGATAAAAGGTGGACAACCTGACAAACGTCTATATTTGGAACAAATTAGTCCCTCCTGGGAAACTTTCGTTGAGGCAGAGGTGGGAAAAGGACCGGAGGAAAGTGCCCGAGGTGATAAAGGAGAAAAAACAAACAAAAGCAACCCCACACAACCTTGAAAATCCTGACTTGGACAGCAAGGGAGGATTCCAGAAGGAGCAACAATTCTCCTGCCCATGAACAGAGCAGGCTGTGCTCATAGATGATCCAAGAGCCATAAGCCAGGGTCTACAATTTTGCTGTCCCTAGTAACTAGTGCCTCAGTGGCCCAGGCTGTTAAAAACACTAGACCTGTAAAAATGTAGCAGCTGCTATTAAGACTGCCATTCATTTAACAGAAAATTCAAAGCAGCTTTGTACAATTATCAGAAGTATAAACTGGAATTATGCAGAGGCAGCTGCTTCCTTTTTCCAGAAAAGTCAACACACTCCTGCTTTCTGCATGTCATCTTATGGCTAAAGCTTCAGATCCATTAAATGACTAACTAAGGAGCAGAGTCCTGACCTGCCTACTGAACTGTGATATTGTGCAGGTCTGATCTTAATTAAAACAATTATTAGAAGCAAACAAATGAGAAATTGGTCCACTTTTGAAGCATGAATCTAAAAGATTCCCTAGCCTTGTTTACTGGGAAATGCTATACAAGTGAATCCATGCTGCAATGATTTAAATACACTTAAATCAAAGATTTATGCCTTTCTTGATGATACTATTTACACAGATTTTGAAGTTCTACATTAATCAGTTAACTAAATGCTATTTGCTCCATCAGCATTAGAAGATACTTATTATTTGAGTCAATTTACCATGGCACTTAGTAATCAGATTTTCAAAGAGTATGATAAATCAGAATACAAAAGTA